CATGAACATTTGACACTGAAAACATGAGAAGAAACTCAACTGTAAACTCAATATGTGGTGTAATCACACATAGAATTAATGACATTTTTTTAAAGGAAAATCATTCAGACCTTCTCGAGATATTCTGGCTGTTTGCTGTTGACAGGCGTCCTCCAAAACCTCCTTCAATGCTGAGATTGAAATGTCTTTAAAAGACAGATGAGTGTGTTGAGTGAAGCTGGGAACGTCTTTGAATTTGGGTAAAACACACACAGACTGACAGCTCTGGAATGAGAATAATAATTCTTTCATAGTTTTAGAGATAAACAATCACGGCACAATAGTGTTTAATTTTTTTTAGATTCTAAACAATTTTTGCATCATTACCTTCAGACCATGAAGATGATCGTCAGTAATCAGAAGTTTGTCAATCTCTGCATGTGTTTTTCTGAGTTCTGTCAGCTCTTGATCCAGATGTTTGTGAAGTTCCTCTGCTCGATCTATCTCAGTCTTCTCCTGAGCTCTGATCTGCTCTTTAATCTCAGAGCGTTTCTTCTCCAGAGAGCAGATGAGCTCAGTGAAGACCTTCTCAATGTCCTCCATGCTCTCTAGCGCTGAACTCTGGCGGAGAAACAAAGATCTGATCATAGAGCAACAGCTTAAAAAAATACATGTGACCAATTCAATTGTCATAGATCTTGTTCAAATCCAAAGTGATTATACTTTCAATCTAATGAAAATGGCAAGATTAAAATGAAAATGTTGCCTATTTAATACATCTGTTGTATTTATGATTGGACCAGTCGTCTGGTCCTCATACTGATACTCACTTTAAGAAGATTGACAGCTTCACTGAGATCCCGCTGACCTCTCTCTCGCTCCTCGATCAGCTTCTGACACGACACCTTTATCTCCTCGAACTCTTTCTGAGGATGTTAACAAACAAAAGTTAATAGGTAAAAGAAAGATTGAACTGCAAGCGGCAACATTCAGGGACTAATTCCACAAAAATGCACACTTCTGTTTTTAAAAATTAAAATTGAATGTCATCTGTATAATTGTTAGAGAAGGGGATGTGAAACATAAAATTATAGATTACAGATGAACATAAGCATTTACCTTTTGATTCGTCTATTCAGATTCCAGCGAAACCACACGGTGTCCGTTATGATGGTCAATCATACACAAGTAACAGATACACTGATGATCATCCTGACAGTAAATCTCCAGTAGTTTCCCATGACTGAGACAGATGTTCTCCTGAATGTGTCTGGAAGCTTCGACTAGTTTATGCTTCATTAAAGCAGGAGATTGATAGTGAGACTGCAGGTGAGTTTGACAGAAGGAGGCCAAGCACTGCAGACAGGACTTTACAGCTCTGTTCTTCTCTGTAGTGCAAACATCACACTCCACAGCAGCCGTTTGTAGAGACGTCGTCTTCTGCAGCGTCTCCATCATCTCAGCTATCAGAGTGTTCTTCTTCAGTAGAGGTCTCTGACTGAAGCTCTCTCTGCATTGGGGACAGCGGTACGGCGGCCCCTGCTCCTTCTGGCACCAGCAGTCAGTAATACAGCTCATACAGTAACTGTGTCCACAGGGAATCGTCACCGGCTCCTTCAGAGGATCCAAACACACTGGACAGCTGAACTGATCCACACACTGACTCGCTGCAGATTCAGACATTTCTGAAGGAATAGCCTACATAAATAATCATGTACTGTAAATCATTAATGAAAGAGCATGTAACTTACCTAAATGCGTAGTTTTGTGTATTAATTTAAAATAATCCTAAACTCTTCATGCATAACCAAAGGAATAAGCATAAGACATATACTTATTATCAAACATGGAGTAATAACTTAATGCTTTTTTCAGGCCAAGGAAGAAGACATAAAACCAATAGTTATAATTTTATGACATTCTTACCTGCTTTGACAGAATAATTATTCCCTCTTTTAGCTTTAACCAAACTGGAAGAGTGTGAATCCTTAAGTAGAGGCTCAGGTAGCAGGGACATAGGTTTCGTTTCTCTCGAATCCACAAACTTCCTGGTTTTCAGTGTGCATGAGAGAGAGTACCACAGACCGTATCTCTCGACAACAATAATCAATTGAATTGTTTGTAATAACAGAAAATGTTTTATTTTTTTACTGCTTCTAACGCACTTTCAGCAATCTTTGTCTAAAATTATTAAGTCATTGATGATTTCATGTTTGTTGTACAATGTCATTGGCATCAAACCTTTCAGAAATCATTTCTTTGTTACGTTCGTGACTGATTGTAGCTGCATTGTTTCTGTTGTTGTTCTTGCTTTCTCCTTTTTCCTCCTTTAGGATTGGTCCTGATGTTAAGAGAGACTATTGGTGATTGGACCAAAGAAGAGATCCAGACTATACATTTCCCAGAATTCCTCTGGACTCCCTCCAGAGGAATTCTGGGAAATGTATAGTTCTCTCTGCTTCTTTGATTGCTCTTTATATTGTTGCTGTTGTGTTTTTGTGTTCAGACTCTTGTGGTGTTTAACAGAGTGGTGTTAGTTACTTTTGCTACAGATTGATATTTTGATAACATCAGTGCCCTATTGATCCTCTCTGTAAAACTTAATTATTTGTGAAGCCGCTGGGGGTGTGCATTTTTTTGTTGTTGTTTTTTTAGGCTAAAAGGCCACTACTTTTTCTCCTGTTTATTGGCTAGATAAGCAGGTGTATGTCATTGTATGTTTTGTTTATTTTATTTTGATTGGGAGGGAAGTTCGTTTTGCTTCCAAACTGTTTGGCTGTTGTTTCTTATAAGTTTTATTTTTAAAAAACTGATATGTTAAAACCATGGATATTACTATTAAAACACCCCAGAGAACATGTACCAGTTTCATGCATCTGTGTCCAGCTGTGATGCTAGGAAATACGTTACCCTTGTTCCTTGATCCTATGGAATTAGTCAATTACAGGTCAATCTTGAATCTACCTGTCAAAGATACTAGAAAAGGCAGTATCCTCACAAATATGTTCCTTTTTAGAAAGAAATGTTATCTGCGAGGATTTTCAGTCAGGATTTAGACCGTACCATAGTACTGAGACAGCTCTCATCAGATTCACAAATGATTTGCTCTTATCATCCGATCATGGTTGTAACTCTATTAGTGTTACTCGATCTTAGTGCTGCATTTAATACCATTGAATATGACATTCTTTTAAATAGACTTGAAACTTATGTTGGCATTAGTGGAATTGCATTTGCATGGTTTAAATCATATCTGACCGTGATCAGTTTGTAGCAGTAAATGAAGAGATGCCTCATCGATCAAAAGTTCTGTATGATGTACCACAAGGCTCAGTATTAGGACCATTGCTGTTCACTCTGTACATGCTGCCATTAGGATATATCATTAGGAACCATGGCATCAGTTTTCACTGTTATGCCAATGATACTCAGCTCTATATTTCTTCACACCCAGACGAAACTTACCAATTCACAAAATTAACGGAATGCAGCTGATACAAAAAAACTGGATGACTTTTAATTTCCTAATACCAAATTCTGAAGAAAAAAAACCCCAGAGATTCTGATTATTGGACACAAAAACTTCCTCACGTAACAGCCTAGAATACTGTCTAACACTTGATGGCTGCTCTGTTAAGTCTTCGTCGTCGATTGGGAACCTGGGTGTGCTCTTTGATACCAATCTCTCATTTGAAAGGCATGTGTCTAGTATCTGTAAAACCGCATTTTTTCCATCTTAGAAATGTATCTAAATTACTTATGCTCTCAATGACAAATGTGGAACAGTTCATGTGTTCATGACATCAAGGCTAGATTATTGTAATGCTCTTCTGGGTGGTTGCCCTGCACGTTTAATAAACAAACTTCAGCAAGTCCAAAACGCAGCCGTTCGAGTTCTTACCAGAACCAGGAAGTATGACCATATTAGCCCGGTTCTGTCAACACTGCACTGGCTGCCTATTAAATATATTAAATATCGTATACATTTTGAAATATTGTTGATAACTTACAAAGCACTAAATGGTTTAGCTCCGCAGTATAAGCAAGCTCTTAACGCATTATAGTCCTTCAAGTCTATTGCGTGAAAAAAATCTGTATTATGCATTTTTCGTGGCTTGTACCTTGAAACCTATTTCATGATTTGCGTTGTTGATCCACTAGGCACTGAATACTCAGGGTTCGGGCAAAAATTTTGAGTTTAGAGCCCTCCCCTCGAACAGCACACCAAATACGCATAACCTTTACTCAACGTAATTGCACGCAAGTGTGAACTTGTGAAATAATCAAATCGTAATGAGTTCATGCTTGTTGTACAATGTCATTGGCATCAAAGATTTAACATGTGATGCTTCTTACTTATAAGAACAGCAGGTTTTCATTCTGCTGCTCTGAAGAAAAACAACAATCACACACAATCTCACTTAGATCATGAATTCTGGAGACAAAATATTTCAACAGATACATTTCCATCAAATGATCTCTATAATGTAAAGAAAAATGCATCATTTGATTTTCTCTTCATTTGATCATAACTGCACAATACATTATCAAACCAAAGAAAAACAAATATAAAGATTAATTTTTTAAAGAAACATTGCTATGTTCTGTCAAAAAGTAAGATAATTTTACAAATTAGTCTTAAAAGGCTTTTTGCCAACACCAAAACACAAAAATCATAGCTTGTTTAAATATATCTAACATGTTTCAAGCATTTTAAGAAACATGCCTACAATATTTAATACATGTTTATTAGACGGAAAATAACTTTTACAGCCAATACAGGCAATTTACTAAGGAAATATGTTTTAAAGTTTTTTCACAGTTTTCAAGGATGGGCCAAAAACGTAGGACTTGTCCACAAAGGTATGTTTTTTTTTTTTTAAATAATCTCCAATGTTTAATGAATAATTAGATTGACAGCGGTGATCTTAGAGGCAAAGTTGCTCAAAATTAGGAGCTCTGCCGAATGCTGTGGGCATGTGTGGAAAATTGTGTGATATAAAATCCTTTACACATGTTAAAAATGCGAAGGCGGCCGATTTATTTTGAATTTCTCATAGGTCTCTGGGCCACGAGTCAAACGGGTCCAGCGAGTTTCGTTAACCTTATCTGACAGCAACTCGAACTTCATTTGCTGTGTACCCAAGATACTATATGCCCTTGTAGACAATCACAGCACCTTGGACAAAGCCACCGCATGAAAGTTTTCATGTCAATTGGACTTACTGTTGCATAGTTATATTTTTTCAATTTGTTTTATTTATTTTTTTATAGCGCCACTGACTGGCCAGTCGCCGTTTATTTTTCATACAACCACAGACCGAGCCAATAGCACATCTCTGTACCGAGTTTGGTGAAATTATCTCATACCGTTCATGAGAGATAGCCGTTTTAGTAAAAGTGGCCACGCCCACTTCGAAAGGTTTGGCGTCCCATCGTGAACATAAATCTAAATTTCAACTTTTTTCTATAATTATTGCCACTCAGACTCAGAGATTCTTTCTGAATCTAGTAGATTTTTTGAAAAATCCAAAATACCCGAAAATTTGGGAGACGACTGAATTCAAGATGTGCGTTTTCTTTGTCTTGATCCAAGAATTCCAAGTATATGAGAAACTTGAGCCTTAAACAAGTTAGGCGTTACATACTTTTGATCGCTATAGCACCACCATAGCCTATTAAGGCGAGCCTTGGTGACTTCGTAAACGGGATGAGTACTACTGTACCATTCTTTAAAGTTTCAAGTCTCTACAACCACTTTTAGGGGAGAATGCTGATCCTTGGACATTCTAACTATTACAACAGGGTTTTAGCGTTATGTGCTTCAACCCCTCATCAGGCCTCATCCTGAAGTCAACTCAGTTATCCAAATTGTAAAGAAACTCTAAAGAAAGAAGGTCCTACTATCAGGTAACAAACAAACTATCATCTGCATTTAATACATGTAATATAAGATAATATGTGTGATGTGAAACAATTATTTTATCAACACCACGATGTAAATAGTTTACTAAGTTCCACAGCCGATTATTTTCCAAACCCTGACACTTTGTATGGAGCTCGATAATGAACTGAATCATGGATTTAGACATGGATTATTATGAGCTGCAGTAAAAAAAAACCTCGCTGAAGATGAAAGCTTTCAGATTCCAAGATTAAAGAACACTAAATCAAAATCACTGTAATCTTATTTTGTAACAACTGATAATTAATTGAGTGTTTTAAAAGGTGCTTCAAATGTTATTTATTCATTGACGGTGTTTGTTCATCCAACCTTCAAATTAAATTTTAATTTAAATATACCGGCATACAAGTTTCAGAAATTTAGCAATTTATTTTTTGGGTTTTTTTTTCTTTTGAATTTTTTGGATTTTTTTGCCTGTCTGAACTCTCTTCTGCTCTATGATCCTGACAGAAGAACCTGTACTAACCCCAAACGCAGGGTATAAGGGTTCGGTGAAAGTGGTCTGGACTCTGTGAAGGAGAGTCATTGTGTCAGAGACGCTGTAGAAGGACAGAGTTCCTGCTCTGTGATCCAGATACACTCCTATTCTAGAGGAGGATAAAGGAGGAATTGAGACTTGGGCTTTATCATGAATGAAATCGACATTCTGCTGATCGAGTGACAATCTCCAAGATTTTTTGTTGAAGCCAAGTCTACAGTCATCACTCTTTCCTTTACATTCAATAGCTTTGTAACAAACTGCTACGGCCCACTCGTTCCCACTGCACTCGACCTCCCAGTAACAGCGATCATACAAACCCTCTCGACACAAGACATTCCAATATCCATCAAATCGCTCTGTGTGATCGGGATACTGCTGGTCTTCAACTGAATGTGTCGCTTTTCTGTTCTCTTCTGACAAGATGAGTTTTTTGTGTGCTGTGTTTGGATCCAGGTTAAGTTCACAGAAATCTAAGGAGAATGGATGCACACAAACAGAATTATAAACGTTATTATAATTATTTTTATTATATTTCAGTTGACTTATATTTATCAATTAACATGTACAGTACATCCTATTTATGTTTATGAGCAATAGCCCAACTTACATTGCCAAAATGTATTTGGAGTCTTTGGTTCTGGAGTCTGTGCAACATGAACATTTGACACTGAAAACATGAGAAGAAAATCAACAATATCAATATTTAGATGTAATCGTACATAGTATAAATGACACATTTTCTATTCTAAGGAAAATAAGCATTCAGACCTTCTCTGGATATTCTGGCTGTTTGCTGTTGACAGCCGTCCTCCAAAACCTGCTTAAACTCTGAGACTGAAATGTCTTTAAAAGACAGATGAGTGTGTTGAGTGAAGCTGGGAACATCTTCAAATGTGGGTAAAACAGACACAGACTGACAGCTCTGAAATGAGACAAATAATAATTCAGACTTAATTTGTGAATGCAGACACTTTTCCATTCATCAAGAGAAACTATTTATGGTGATATGTTGTGGAAGGTTCACACACAGATATTATAAATATAAAAACATAATGTATTACCCTCAGAAAATTGATCTGATTATCATTAATCAGGAGTTTGTCAATCTCTGCTTGTGTTTTTCTGAGTTCTGTCAGCTCTTGATCCAGATGTTTGAGAAGTTCCTCTGCTCGATCTATCTCAGTCTTCTCCTGAGCTCTGATCTGCTCTTTAATCTCAGAGCGTTTCTTCTCCAGAGAGCAGATGAGCTCAGTGAAGACCTTCTCAATGTCCTCCATGCTCTCTAGCGCTGAACTCTGTTGGACAGGAACAACAGCCTAAATACTGCATTTATAAGACCAATGTTTCCATTAAATATTTTCCAAATCCAGACAGTGATTATGCATTCTATCAATCAAATTAACTGGTAAAACTAAAATGTCTCTTGTTTATAGCGGATACGTTTTCCAATGATTTGCAAACATAATAATTTATATTACAAACTACAAAGACCCCAAAGTTTCATTCACAGAAAAAAACTGCAACTTTTGCATGCGCAAATCTCCATACAAAACTTCATATGAGTATGTTTTTGGTCTTGTTTTTCCACTGCAAATGATGTGTAAGATTCTCAGTAAGATCTGTAATAATGTAATAATCACTTTTACAATCTCTGTAAACATCACTGGCATCTTCTGATACTCACTTTAAAAGACTTCACAGCTTCACTGAGTTCCCACTGACCTCTCTCTCGCTCCTGGATCAGCTTCTGACACGACACCTTTATCTCCTCTAACTCTTTCTGAAGATGTTCACATAAAATAAGTATTTTTTAGTATCTAAGTAAGTAAAGTAAATAAATTACTTTAATAGATTACCTTTTTGCTAGTCCATTCTGAATCCACAGGCACCACATTGTGGTTTTTATGATTGTCAGTAACACACAAACAACAAATACACTGACGATCATCCAGACAGTAAATCTCCAGTAGTTTCCCATGACTGAGACAGATGTTCTCCTGAATGTGTCTGGAAGCTTCGACTAGTTTATGCTTCATTAAAGCAGGAGATTGATAGTGAGACTGCAGGTGAGTTTGACAGAAGGAGGCCAAGCACTGCAGACAGGACTTTACAGCTCTGTTCTTCTCTGTAGTGCAAACATCACACTCCACAGCAGCCGTTTGTAGAGACGTCGTCTTCTGCAGCGTCTCCATCATCTCAGCTATCAGAGTGTTCTTCTTCAGTAGAGGTCTCTGACTGAAGCTCTCTCTGCATTGGGGACAGCGGTACGGCGGCCCCTGCTCCTTCTGGCACCACCAGTCAATAATACAGCTCATACAGTAACTGTGTCCACAGGGAATCGTCACCGGCTCCTTCAGAGGATCCAAACACACTGGACAGCTGAACTGATCCTCATACTGACTCGCTGCAGATGCAGACATTTCTTTGCCGTGTTCAAAGATGAACAGACTGTCAGCTTCTGTAATAAGGGCTGTCTAGCCAAGAAATGCAACATTATTTGTCAAATAATGCAGATACTGTCAATATTTTACACACTACAGTATCTAAGCAAAGCAAACAAGTTGTTTGAGAGAAGCTTAATGTTTTTTTGTTTTGTTTTTTAACTGAGGAAAGAAATTCTGTTCTTTGCTGATCAACTGCAGGCTGTAAATGCTGTTGTAATAAGCTGTCAGTACAGATTAACTTGTATCTAGCCCAGAATAGTATTTTTAAACATGATCACCACAGAAATGGGTTGTAGTTCTAAACAATCACTGAAATTGTAAAGAGTAACAATTATAAAACTGCAGGCTGTAAATGCTGTCAATGGAGCTTAACTGTAGCAAGTCTAAAGACTGTTTATGTTCAATATCTAGATGCATGTATTTTCTTTTATGTGTTATGTGTTCTGGTTGTGTGGGGCTTTAAGGCATAGGCTGTTCTTCTGAAGAAAGAGCCTGCGCAGTTACGCGGGGGTCGGAAAAAGGGGTTTTCCAGAAATTGGAGGTTCACTGGACTGAGGTAAGGTAAGAGCATCAACCACACAGATGCTCACGTTAATAAAAGAGTATTAAAACTGCTAAGTGAGTCTATAATTTTCTCTGATTGCTACACTGGTGTCAGAAGTGAACTGTTTGATTCCAGTTAGTATACGAGATTACTCTGGTTATCGTCCTGAAACACGATGCAGAACTGGACTAAAAAAAGATTAAGTCCGAACCAGAAGCAAGCCAGATGTTTCGTGAGGCTCTAAACGCTTCAGCGTGGGCTTCCGATCAATTTGCAAAAGAGGAAGACTTTCTGGAATCGCACAAGGCTTATGTGAGGAGGCTACTAGGAAGATGGCTGCAGACATTGGGCTTTCGTGGCTGGAGCCGAGTGTCACAGAGCACCGCAAAACTTTCACAAGTACATCAAACAGACACGGAGGCTGTGGCGAGCAGGACGAGGCAGAGGGCCGTGAGAGATATGAGACTGATGCATCGCGCAGGTGTCGCTCATCAGTGATCACGTTGGTTGGCGAGGTAAATAAACATGGCGGCGCATATGGAGCTACGCTGCATTCCGACGTGAATGAAAATGGCGGCACCAGCGCTGCCGCGGCTACGGTTGCAGTAAAACACCCCAAATTCTCAGGTATAGCTGATTGGTAAGCTTTTCATGCACAGTTCAAACTGTTGACTCATGCTGCCAACAAGACCACAAAGCTCTTGAATTGGATATGTGTCTCACGGATGATGCTCTGAACTGTTGGTTACTGCTTAACCCTGAAGATGAGGCAGCGTTTTGGCCAATTTGAGCAGCCAGGCTCCTGTGTTCTGGACTGAGTAATAGAAGTAGGCAGCCAGGAGAGAAACTGATGTCGAAAATTTGACTCGGCGAGCATATGCCCACAGTTCAAGGGGAGCTTGCGAGAGACCAATTCATACAGGCCCTTACCCTTTGGAACTCCGTAGACAGGCACAACTAGCCCACCCTCAAACCTCTCAGGATGCCTTGGAGATGGCTTTGGAGAGGAAGATTGTTAGTGATTTTTGTCATGTGCCAATTTTGGTGGAGGGGGTTCCATGTTTAGCATTGGTGGATACGGGATCAACTTTGACAGTTATAAGACCAGAGGTAGTTTCTGCCAATGCCAGTCTGGAACCCACCACTGTCCGACTACGCACAGTGACAGGTGAACTGGCGCCAATGAAGGGTAAAGGCGTGGTGGGGCTGACTGTAGGGGGAAAGACATTCAGTGTGGGTGGCTGCAGTCCAGGACCCTTGTATTCTTGGTCTGGACTTCTTCCAGTTAGACCTGAGAGATGGCAAGCCCTCAGAAGGGCCAACTAGAATGAGGACCGAATTAAAAATGCTCGATTCTGCAGTTTACACTTACATAGCCATTCAGGTGCAGTTCACAGTAAGCATACAGTTGCTTGTCTTGTTGACGATAACCCAGGCCTTGTACGATTCCGTCTTCTTACTCTGTCTTTGGCTAGGCAGAACCTCCGTCTTTAGCACTACGAAGTTTTGAACTTGGTAATCATGAAATTGTATGTCCATGACATGACCACACAGAACAAAGTTGTTCGCATCAAGAGACTTCTCCCGGGTATATACACTTGGATGGTGGATCAGGTAATTATATATAAATCCGCCACTGGATGCTTGGTCATTTTGTTTCATCGTTTAACCAATGATGACAAGGTGATATGACACTTACGTCAATTTCGTTACATAACAGTGCTTATCGCTGGGTGACAAACTGTTGTAATATGCAGAGAATAATTTGAAAATCAAATATAAACTCAAATATAAAAAATATGTTTTTAAATTGAACTATTTTGTATATCGTATCCGTGTAATTCTCAGCTGTTAAGGCTATCTATTCCGGGTCTTCTGCAACCTCGATGTGTGCACATCCAAAATGTCTAAAACCTATAATTGATCTATAAGTGCTATAATGAGGTCACCAGGAAGGACTCATACCCCATCCCTCAGGAGTATGATTCGCTGGACCTCGTAACCAGGTCGCCATGGTTCACTTCACTGGACCTGCGCACTGGTTATTGGCAGGTAGCTACCACTTGCTGCTTTTTGTACAAGCAGGAGGCTATGGCAGTTCGGAGTGCTCTGCTTTAGCCTCTACAATGCACCAGCCACTTTTTGGCTTGGCAGAGGATTGGCTTGTTGGCAGAGAAGGTGCAGGCAGTGAGCAACTGGCCAACTCCTACAACCTCACTTCAGCTGCAACAGTTCCCCGTAGGAGGCCCAATGGAGAGAGTAATATGTAATAGGTCCTTTTCCATGTTCTGAGAGGGGTAACAGTTTTGTGCTGATGGCTATGGATTATTTTACAAAATGGCCAGAAGCTTACGCACTGGTGGATGGCATGTTCAGTCGGTTCAGGGTTACTGAATCTATAAACAACAATCAAGGCCGGAATTTTGAGTCACATGTCTTCACCCTGATGTGTGAAAAATTAGGGATTCACAAAACAAGGACCACCCCTTTGCATCCCCAAGGTGATGGCCTCATTGAGAGGTTTCACAGGACACTGGCGGAAAAGCTGGCCATTGTGTCTGGCAAGCATCAGCGACATTGGGATACACACTTGTCATTTTTCCTAATGGCGTGCCGATCAGCTAAGCAAGACTCAAATCTCTTGCACACACACACACCCTTTTGATGTTGGGGCGGGAGACCAGAACACGTGGGGAAAATTCGCCCCCCCTGGGCCCTGAGTATGCTAAAAAGCTTCAGCACTCAAATAGAAAGCAAATAGGCAGCATTTCACTGCGGGAGTATTGGTGTGCCTGTACAGCTCTCAGAGAAAGAAAGGTAGGTGCCCTAAACTGGACTCCAAGTGGGCTGGGCCGTGCAGTGTTCTGGAGAAAATCGGAGAAGTGGTTTACTGAGTGCAGTTGCCTCCGAGGGGTAGAAAGGTGGCTGTTCACCGAGACAGATTGGCACCTTATTTTTTTCATTTAGGTCCAGTTTTAAATAACAACAGCAATGGTCGTACTGAGGCTGTGAGAGCTGATTTCTGCTCAGCGGACATTTGGCGATGCAGGTCAGGTTACTAATGAGATGCGCGCGTTGGCTGCTGCTGCAGGTGGATGGTCTTACAACAGCAACAAATAAAACGATAAAAACGCGGGAATTTGTAGATTGAGAGGTAGGTAATTTAATGTTTAGTTATATCGTAGTTCCCTGTGAATGTGTAGGAAAACTGAAAAAGTCGAACTACACTGTACAAGCTAGATTAGCATCCTGAAAGAGTGCAGACGGTTACAGAGGAGGCGCGCAGCTCTTAAAGGGGCCACACCTTATTTCCACTCATTACACCGCCGTGAAATTTAAAACGCTATTTTCTGGACTGAAGACTGGTGGTGGTTTTTGCAGATGTGTGTGTTCAATATAGCTAATGTTATATTTTTCGCCAACCATTCCAACCCGGTCTCATCCCAAATCGTCATATAACTGACGTTTTGGGACGTCTTTTGACCATACGTCAATATTCGCCTTTTTAGGGCCCCCTTAAACGTCGGTAGATGGCGATCCCGGGCCGTCATACAACTGACGCTTTACCTTTAACGTCAGTTAGGTGACGGGTTAGGTTTAGGGTTAAGTTTAGGTATGGGGTAGAGTTAGGATCCCATAACCTCATCTACCGACGTTTAAGGGGGCCCTAAAAAGGCGGATATTGACGTATGGTCAAAAGACGTCCCAAAACGTCAGTTATATGACGATTTGGGATGAGACTGTGTTAACCATTCGCCAACGATTTCTTTTTACTTATTAAATGCCCCCATATACTAGTGTTATATGCTAAACAGTTTTTATAGATAAAACTCTTTACATTCGATTATCATGAAAACAAATCTCAGAGAACGGTCGACTAGGTACCGATGTGTTATTAGACCGAAGGTTCATTTTGCGCTGGAGTTCTCCTTTAATGTAGGCTACTATGGAGGATCAGCTCTACCATATTTAAAAATACAGAAATAAATAAATGCTCAATAAATAAATAAGCATAATTAATTGCCCCAAAAATACAATCAACAAATAAATGTAGATAGAAATTAAATTAATTAATCTCTTTAAATTAGCTTCTTTTTTTCTTCATCTTTGTAATAATTACCTTATTTATTTATTGTCTGTTATAATCTTCAACTTTATTTAATTACTTTTTTAAGTATTAATTTATGTGCATGTTATAATATTTTTGTCTGTTTTATTCTTACTTTGTATTTTTTTTAACCCTATTTATTTCTCCAATGCTATTTATTTCTGCCTGTCGTTTTTACATTTCTGTATGCATTTCTGCCTCATTATGCAAATGAGGAGGGGCTGTCTTAGGGGGTCAACGTCTGCCCATTGGTTGGTTCACATTTTACTGCATCGGTCGAATCTACATGCCACCGGCCACAGTCACAACAAAGATGGCAACCTACGATGAAGTTGCCAGTGAGCTGAAGCATTTAGCAACTGTTTTTGAAAATAATGCTAACGTTATAAGTATTAACTTTATTATTTTTCACTTTATGGCAGGGAAAAGCCATGTAGATTCGACCAATGCCGTAAAACCAACCAATGGGCAAAAGTTGTCAACTTCAAGTTGACCTTCTAAGACAGACCTCATTTGCATAATGAGGCAGAAATACGACCTCTGACATATCAATTTTAAGTCGCTTTGGATAAAAGCGTCAGCTAAATGAATAAATGTAAATGTTAAGGCATGGGCTGTTCTTCTAAAGAACAAGCCTGCGCAGTTATGCGGGAGCGGGGTTGGAAAAGGGTTTTTCCAGAAATTGGAGGTTCGCTTGACTGTGTGAGGAAAGAGCATCGGCCACACAGATACTCACGTTAATAAAAGAGCATTAAAACTGTGAGTCTATAATTTTAATTCTAAATTAAAAGTGAGTCTATAATTTTCTCCGATAGCTAGCCTATTTTTAGTCATGATCACCACAGAAATGGGTTGTAGTTTTAAACAATCACTGAAATTGTAACGAGTAAATTTTTTTTTTTTACAATTTTGTAGCATACTTCTGTATGTAATCGAGTATTTAATTTCAATTTTGAGTTTTCATTAGACAACACAATCCAAAAATAATCGTTTATCAATGAAGTAAAAAACAAAATTTTGTTTCACCAGCCTGTTAATACAAATTACAGGAGTAGAAACTAACTGTACACATACACAGACATAATTGCATTTAATTTATTTTAAAAAGCAGACAACATGATAAAATCATGATCGTTGGATTCTATTAAGTCCTTACCTTGACAGAAAAACAACTCAAATATGGTTTGCTTTAGCTTTGCCCCAAAGAACAGCGGCGTTGATCTACAGAGGTTGAATCAATTGTGTAGAGGCGAATACGTTTCATTTCTTTTGAATTCAAATACTTCCTTCCTTGTTTTCAGCAAAACAACAAAAAATGGGCGTGTGTTCTGTGTGAGATAATGAGAGAAAGAAAAATTTTATTTTCCCTATATGATCTACTGGTGTCTGTGCATTATTGAACTGTTACTATTAAACTTACAAGTTTACAATTATAGTTTTAGACTTAAAAAAAGAAAAAGAGAAAAGATCTGTTAAACTTGTCACAGCTGAAGGATGATCTAAGAATTCTCCATAGCAACCTGTGTATGTGTTAGACCTGTTAAACTTGTCACAGCTGAAGGATGATCTAAGCATTCTCCGTAGCAACCTGTGTTACTTTAAGAGAGCAACAATACATCAGTGAGGTTTTATTTTTCCTTTGTAGTTTTTTAAAAATATGATTTAATTCAATAATCATTAGTAATTCATGTAGTTGTCATGTGATTTAGAATTGAATTATTGAAATAATTCAATAGAGCGTCAAACGCGTCTTTGCATTGACTTAACATTGAAATCATTCGCGCCTGACACGCTGACGCGTCTGGTGTGAACACACCATAAGTCTTAAAACATATGCAACTAAGATAATTCAATAAACACTGCTCTTTTTTATATTATTTTTACTTCGTCTCCTGCTTCTGCTCTTCCTTGGGTTTCTCAGTCAAACTTTCACAGAGTTTTGCATAACAGACCAAACTTGCTGTTAACAGGTTTTAGCGGTTTTCAGTGTGCATGAGAGAGAGAGAGAGAGAGAGAGAGAGAGAGAGAGAGAGAGAGAGAGAGAGAGAGAGAGAGAGAGAGAGAGAGAGAGAGAGAGAGAGAGAGAGAGAGAGAGAGAGAATTGAATTTCTAAATCCATTTATTACAAAATTTAAAACATTGTCCAGTCAATTAACACCTTGTTTACTTTTTACAAAAAACAAACAAACAAACTCACAAAAAAACACTACAGCACAGACAAGACACAATTATTTTAAAAGGGGTGCAAAACGCAGGTTGTCATCAATAATCTCACACAAAGCCCCCTTTGTACACCAAATCTGGTCAAAAGATACAAGATCTTTCATGGCTTTAAAATATTGAAAATCAATTAAAATTCTGGATTTCACTAAATTGAAAAACACTGCCTCCAAATTATAGCTCGTGTCGCGTTCAATTTTATGTTTTCTGGTGCTATAAATTGCCATTTTAGCTTGGCCTAGCAGAAAGTTCAAAAGTTGACACCTAAATCTGTGTCTCCGGATGTATTTAAAACCACAAATAAAAACTCCAACAGAAAAAGTTTCACCAAAACAAAGAAATAAATTCTGTAACACAATAAAGAAAGACTTCAGTCTAAAACACTGCATAAATGCATGGAACACAGTCTCCCTCTCCAAACAAAAAGGACATCCATGACTAACACCAGGGTTTAAAACGGAAATAAAAGCATTAACTGCAACTGCCCCATGTAATATTCTCCACTGTAAATCGCCAATTTTCTTAGTTAATGGTGACTTGTACAGAGCTCTCCATTCTGGCTTTTTGCCCTCTCCCATCTGTAGGATGGTACGCCAGGGTGTATCCACTTTATGATCTAAAAAACTTTTATTCAAAGATTTGACACAACTTTTATACAAGGCTTTTCCAGAAGCTGGCTCTAAACCCAGCAATGACACCTTTTCAGAACACAAAAAAACACCTTCACACTCTTCTAAATTAGGTGATAACAGCAGATTAGGAAAAGGATCTCCACAGTTCGGAAAGATGAAACCATCAAAATAGTCCTTCAGCAGTTTGCACTCTTCTGCTGTAAGAGCAGACCTCCATTTTTCAAGGAGTTTAGTCACTACGCGTGTTGATCGAATGCCCAGATGTTCAGCTACCAAATCAACACTCTTAAAGTCTGTTCCCGCCAGCTGTACTAGATGTCCAAGAGATATTATACCAGAACGGAGTAAAGTTCCTTCAAGTGCTGGAAAAGGTCCTTTACTTGATATGTCCAAGCGTGAACCATGAATCAAAGGTTCTTGTAACGTTCAGTATAAGGAACCTGCATTGTCCAGTTTTTGCACTATACTGTAAACAAAGTCCAAACTTTGAAAAAATTGCGATAAAAAATGGGTAATTTGGACAAGTCCATTTTTTTAGGGTTCAACCAGAACAAAGCCTTGTCCAGGCCTAATCCTTCAAAATTCAGCAGAATAGCAAAAGCGATGGATTTCAATTTTCCAGCTTGAGTCCACTGGTCCAGTTAAAAGTCTCTGTGCAAATTGGAGTCTGAAAGCTGCTATTCTGCTCTGTAAATGTATAAGACCATGCCCTCCCTCTTCCTTGGGCAAATACAGAACAGCTTTTGGAACCCAGTGCAGCTTGTCCCAAAAAAAAATCAATTAAAATTGACTGAATTTTTAACAAAAGGCCTACTGGAGGGTCAATACAAATAAAACGATGCCAGAGAGAAGAGGCTACCAAGTTATTTATAATCAATGTGCACCCTCTATAAGACATTTTGGGAAGTAAATATTTCCATTTGTCGAGGCGCCCTTTTATTTTTTCAACAACCCCTTCAAAGTTTTTTTGTACATTCATTTCACTTCCCAAAAACACTCCAAGGTATTTAAAACCTTCCTTAGTCCAGATTAAACCATCTGGGAGTTTTGGTTCTCCAGTTAGCCAGTTCCCAACCAGTATGGCTTTGCTTTTAGACCAGTTTATTTTAGCAGAAGAACACATTTTAAACTCTCTCAATATTTTAAGCAACAAATCCACATCTCTCTGACAATTAATTAAAATAACAACATCGTCAGCATATGCTGATACTTTAAATACATTTGAACAATTTGAAATATACACTCCATGCAAATCTGTTCTTAACTTGTTTAAAAGAGGCTCTATTGACAAAGCGTAAAGCATACCAGACAAGGCACACCCTTGTCGAACACCTCTAAAAACTTTAAAAGGAGCGCATAAGTCACCATTAACTTTCAAGATACTTTCAACTTCACAGTACAAAGCCTTTAACATAGAAACAAATTCAGGATTGAAACCAAATGCAGCTAAAACCTTCCATAAATAATTGTGCTCAACTCGATCGAAGGCTTTTTCTTGATCAACTGACACCAGACCAAAATCTAAGTTGAGACTTCTGCCATAATCCAAAACATCCCTAATAAAAGAAATTTTATCAGAAATTCGTCTACCAGGTACACAATAGGTCTGGTCAGGATGGATTACTTGTTCCAGAACTTCGCCCAATCTATTAGCTAGAACCTTGGAGAGCAATTTATAATCACTGCACAGCAAACTCACAGGTCTCCAGTTTTTAATATCGTTCAGATCTCCCTTCTTAGGCAACAGTGTGAGAACCGCTCTCCGGCAACTTATGGGTAGCCGCCCATTGGCTAAGCTTTCCCCAAGCACCTCTAGTAGATCTGGTCCCACCTCAGGCCAGAAGGCCTTGTAGAAGTCCACTGGCAGTCCATCGACTCCAGGCGCTTTGCCACACTCCATACTTTGGAGAGCTCCTTCCAACTCCTCCAGAGTTAGAGCTTTACTGAGTCCAGCATTAGCTTCATCGGATATCTGAGGTAAATTTTTAAGAAAAACATTACCATCAGTTTGTTCATGTGTGAGTTCACTCTTGTACAGTTCTTCATAAAAACAAATTGCTCTTCTTCGAATGTCAGAGGGGTCTGACAACAAGGCTCCAGCTTCTGAGCGTAAGGCATGAATAAATCTTCTCTGCCCGTTTTTTTCCCCTCCAAATTAAAGAAAAATTTTGAGGGTGCATCCATCAATTCTACACTCTGAAAGCGTGATCTGACCAGAGCTCCTTGTGTGACCGTGTCTAGAAGCTCAGCTAAAGAATTTTTCTTTTTCTGAAAAGTTTCAAAGTGGGTCAAATTTCCTGTACTATCAGCAATCTCCTGAAGTTCTAATAATTCTTTCTCTATAATTTTCATTGAACAGGTTATGTCTCTCGTGAAGTTGCAAGTATATTGTTGGCATAACTGCTTAATCTGTACTTTTGCAATGTCCCACCACTGTTGTAAGGACTTAAAAGAAGATTTTGTATTCTTAAAAATAGTCCAAAATTCTTTAAAAATATCTTTAAAATGGTTGTCACATAATAAATTATTATTAAAATGCCAGTAAGCACTTTTTGGTTTAATAGAGCTCAATGACACAACACACTGTATTAAACTATGATCAGAAAAGCTTACTGGAACAATTGAACAGCTTCTGAAAAAACTAAGTTGGTGTTTGAAGCCATAAAACCTATCTAATCTTGCTAAAGAAATTAAATGATCATACGCATGAGCCCATGTATACTGTCTCTGATTACCATGAAAATTTCTCCAAACATCAACAATCTCATGTGATTTCAATAGCTGAATGAGCCACTTTTGTGATAGCATATGCGGTTCAACATGATTCCGATCTAAAGTGTAATTAATGCAATTAAAATCCCCTCCTAAAAATAATAAATCGTCAGAATTGCAATGACATAAAACATCACTCAGTGTACCTAGAAAAATCATTCTTTCCAATGCATTATTCGGGACATACACACAAACAAAAACAAAAGAACGATTTTCATAAGAAGCTGTAACTTTTAAAAGTCTACCTTTTATAACTTCATCTATCTGATAAGAACAGGGGATAAAATTCTTAGAAAATAAAATGGCAACTCCACCACTAATTGTGGTCAAATGACTTAGGACAGATAGACCATCAAATTCTCTAGCCCAATCAGAAGAATTTAATACATCAGTATGTGTTTCTTGAGCAAACAAAACATCAAAAAAAAATTCTGTTTTATTATCTCAAATAATTGGAATCTTTTCTTTATATCTATTGCCCCATTTATATTTAGAGAAGAAACACAAATTTCCCCCATAAATGTGAAGAGAAATAACCATAGCAGATACAGCAAAAAGAAAACATACAGAGAAAGATTATATTTACACATTATCTTTACTAACATTTAGTCCAGGTTGTACATTTAATTTTACGAGAATTTTCTTCAAACGATAGACTTCCTGATTTGTGAAATTTCCATCATTCCTGAAAGCCTTTGCTTTTTCAATAAACTGCAACACGTCAGGGAAATATTCTTCAACACGAACTTTTCTCGCATTTTTGTCACTTTAAGAAAAGACTTCTGCACTGTAAGACCGGCTGGAAAGGTCACTTTGAGGTAAACTACATGATATACTGTTACATTCAGAAGAATCGCTCTCACCCTCCGTATCAGTCTGACTCTGACTCATACTAACTACAACAATCATCCATTTTTTCGCCTGTTTACCAACATCATGACGTTGTTTTAATCTCCTCTTTTGAGGTATTTTAAAGGCACTAGTACTATCTTCCGAATCAATCACAGAACAGCGATCCCCTTCCACACAGGTTGGAAGTTGCTCAACCGCTGTCACTGCTCTGTGACTCACTCGGCTGACCTCTCACCGCGGCTACTTCATCCTCCTCCGCTTCAGCGGCACCTGCTACATTCTCCCCTTCAGTAACGTTAGTCTTATCCACTAACACATCTTCTTTTGCTCTATCAGTGTTTGTTACTGTTAACGTTACCGATTTTTGAACCATACTTATTCCAGGCACCTCGGCATCATAGACAACATTCTGCATTACCTCATCACGAACAACGTTATTCCTCGCCATCAACCGGTGGATGGTTTATATTAGGCGCATTTAGTTTGACTGGACAAGCGCGGATAAGATGCCCTGTTTCACCACAACCAAAACATTTCATAGTATTTGTTGTGGCGAAAATGACATAATTAAAGTTATCATGACGAAAATTTAGAGACAGATCTAATTCGTCGAGGTTGAAGAACCATAGACAAAACGCCTAAAAGACACAATATGCTTCAAAAGTGGTGACTTGCACCCAATTGGAATCATTTTAATGGGAGAAACCAATTTACCATAGCGAGAAAGCATTCTGGTGAACATTTCGTTTGAAATAAAGGGCGGCACATTAGAAAGAGTCACTTTTTTCGAAGGAGTAGAAAGAGGGAGCACTTGGGTAAAAATCCCATTAAGCACAACTCCAGTTTCTACTAAATGGTTTGCTAAATCAATTGTCTTCACAAACACAACAATAGCGCTGTTCATGCGCGATGCAGACAGAATGTTTTAAAGCCCAATCACTTCTCCTACAGCCAGGCTACAGTCTTCTATACTAACCACTGAGTCTATTTTTACACCATGACGGCGCGTCAAAAAAATCAAACTTCCCGCTACCTGGGCCAGCCATGCTCCCAGTACAAAACCGGGAGCTGACGCCAAATTAAACACCTCTTTACCCTCCGAAAAAAGAAAAAAAAAAACCATCCCTAAACTTAAATCTCACAAACAAACAATACAAAAAGATTGAAAAAAAGATCACTCGTACCTGACACACACGCCAAACACTCAGCCCACACTCGGCGCTCCGCCCACTCACTCAGCACATGCGCAGAGAGAGAGAGAGAGAGAGAGAGAGAGAGAGAGGAGGAGAGAGAGAGAGAGAGAGAGAGAGAGAGAGAGAGAGAGAGAGATTTTTTTTTTGATTTTTCAATCATCTTTATTTATCAAAAATGATTCTTCACATAAAACAAATGTAAGGTATTACTTTTTTTTTATATATATAAAAAAAAGTGCAAAATGCAGTTCGTTTTCAATGATAGAACACAACGCTCCTCTGTGACACCATATTCCTTCAAACACATTTAAGGAATCCATAGCTTTGTAAAAACGAAAATCAATTACAAGCCTTGATTTGATCATGGCTGTGAACACCCTTTCAACATTATAATCAATTTGTTTTTCAATTTTATCTCTTCTGCTAATATACACTCTAAAAAATGCTGGGTTGTTTTAACCCAATTTTGGGTCAAATATGGACAAACCCGAAATGTTGGGTTAAAAATGTAATGTAAAAATTTAACCCAACGGCTGGGTTAGTCCATATTTGACCCAAAGTTGGGTTAAAACAACCCAGCATTTTTTAGAGTGTAGATGGCCATTTTGGCTTTACCCAAAATAAAATTCAACAACTGGCACTCATTCCTTCGCTTTTGAACATATTTAAAGCCCAAAATAAAAGTCTGCACAGAAAAACTCTCATCAAAAACATTAAAAAGATTCTGCAAACCATCGAATAAAGGCTTAAGCCTTGAACAATACAAAAATGTGTGGAAAACAGTCTCTCTCTGGAAACAAAAGGGACATTCTTTGCCAACATCTGGATTTAAAACAGAAATAAAAGCATTTACAGCAATAATGCCATGCAAAATCCTCCATTGTAGATGTCCATCTCTTTTAGCTAACGGTGGCTTGTACAACGCTCTCCACTCTGGCCTGACTCCGTCATTCATCTGAAACACAGTACGCCATGGCGTGTCAACTCTTTCATGTAGTCCTTTTTTGTTAAAAGCCTTTACACAAGCTTTATACAATTTTTTCCCATTACTTTCATGCAACTCCATGTCTAGCTTTTCAGATTCTAAAAACACTCCTGTACATTCACCTAACTTTGGTGAAAGAAGCAAATTCGGAAATGTGTCTCTCTTATCAGGGATAAACTCTCCTTTACAGTAACCTTGAGAGAGAGAGAGAGAGAGAGAGAGAGAGAGAGAGAGAGAGAGAGAGATAGGCTGACTTTGCAGTTTAGTTGCTCTGCTATACTTTATAATCACACCGTACTTCTCGACACCAATAATCAATTGAATAGTTTGTAGCCCAATAAAACAAAAAATGTGTTTCTTTGTTCTAACTGCAATCTGTGCATAAAATAATCAAATGATTGATGATTTCATTTTTATTGTACACTGTCATTGCCATCAAACCTTCAGACAGTCAAAAAAAACCTTCAGTTTACACATAATCTAACATAGATCATGAATTCTAGACAAAAATTTCTTAAAACAGACACATTTTCATCAAAAGATCACTAGATCACTTTTCTCTTTATTTGATCAAAATTACAACATTAATTACATACTAAACTGAAGAAAAGCAGACATATAAAGATGAAATATGATACAAACATTTCTACTATGTACTGACAGAAGAATAATGTCTATTTAAAAAACTGTGCCTCTTTGAACAGGTTTCACAGCTGTTTCTCACCCTTTTGTCAACCCCGTCTGTAGTTATGGAACAATAAAAAAAAAAAAATCAAAGTCATACCACACCCTGAAGTCAACAGTCATCCAAATTGTAAAGTCATCCGTCACAATGTACTGAAGGACTTTTTACTGTTGTTTTTTCACAGGTGTTGATAACACATGTGATGGCTCATACAATGAAGTAATGTTTAGAAGTTGTAAAGAGTATGACTAAAGCGTGAGAGAGAATTTCACTGAGAAAAACATTTTCTTTAAACATTTAAGTTTAATATCATCGACACAAATGCAAATGCACACACCGCTAAGCCACCGCTAGAAGAAATGGGCCAGTCAAGCACAACTGAGGTGGTGTGGGTAGAAATGTAATAATGAAAGGCCTCATAAGCTCCTCGGCTAGTATATGATCTGATCGAAACTATTAAGATTATAGGTATTGCCATAGATTTATAATTGAAAATATTTACCATTTCATCTTTTTCATCCAACATTGAAGATTGATTTTATGTTTTGTGAATTTGGTTTTTACCCCCCCTTCTCTATAATCAAAACAGACGAACCAGAATCAATTCGAAACGCAGGGTATAAGGGTTCGGTGAAAGTGGTCTGGACTCTGTGAAGGAGAGTCATTGTGTCAGAGACGCTGTAGAAGGACAGAGTTCCTGCTCTGTGATCCAGATACACTCCTATTCTAGAGGAGCAGAAAGCAGGGATTGGGACTTGCTTATTATCATGCATAAAAATGATCTCCTGTCCATAGTAGCCAAATCTCCAGGATTTGTTGTTGGAGCCAAGTCTAGAGTCATTATTGTTTCCTTTACGTCCAATTCCTTTGTAACACACTGCTACAGCCCAATTGTTCCCACTGCACTCGACCTCCCAGTAACAGCGACCGCACAAACCCTCTCGACACAAGATGTAGGGAATCTCAAAACGCTCTGGGTGATCAGGATACTGCTGGACATTTTCAGAATATGATGCTTTTGTGTTCCTATTTGACAGTTTGACTTTTTTGTCTGCAGTGTTTAGATCCAGGTGCAGCTGACAGAAGTCTGAGAAGGATAGATAGAAACATAGATATACATTGAATAATTGGACATGGAATGAATTTCAAAACCATGGGTTTTGGAACATGGCATCATGATTTTTGCGTAAACATACACGCCACTTTCAAGTCAAGTGGCGTGTTATCTATACAGATTTTGAGCTATCCGCGTGTATGCGTGTTTGTCTACGCAGTTAAATGTCCGAGTGATTCCGCATGTATGTACACGCCGTTAAATGTCCAAGTGAAACTAAGCAAAATGTACATCTACATCTGGGGAGCGATATTTTTTTTCCTAGGATGGTAGGGGAAGACTCATAAATGCTATTAACCCCAGTGACGGGTAGGTTTAGGGACAAGGTTGGGGTAGGTCATAGATTTATATGTAACGTTAAGTCAACGGCGTTCATAAACACGCTGAAAAGCAACTATGCGTGTTGAAAGCACGGCAAAAATAGAAATACGAATTGTCGTGTTATACATACGCCATTTCATGAGATCAGTCTGGGTTTTCATAGGAGGATCTTTGTTGACATCATTGTACCCATGCGCGAGTCGTTGGGTGGCAAGAAAACAATAGAATGACCGGCTGTAAAGACGCGACAAGCACTTTCAAGAGAGTTAGCGGGCAAAAGCCACAATATATAAGCACTTTAATATCTGACGACCGGAGGAGGTTTGGAGAGAAGCTCAAAATTTGTATTGGTGACAAAATTGAAGTTATTCAAAGCCCATAGCCTATGTGATTTGGGATGTCAAAAACCGTCGGTCCGACTCGCCCGTGTCTTGGCCACTATAATCTGCTGGGGAGACATTTATTCTTATTTAATAGAAACCCCTGGACCCTTCACTCATGAAAGATTATGCAAAATGTAGATCTACATCTGGGCAGCCATATTTTTTCCTAGGATGGTAGGGGAACACTCATAAATGGTATTAACCACAGTGACGGGTAGGTTTAGGTACGGGGTTGGGGTAGGTCATATTTATATACAGTAATGTAACATTAAATCAATGGCGTTCATAAACACTGAAAAGCGATTATGCGTGTTGGAAATACGAATTGGTGTGTTATACATGCGCCATTTCATGAGATCAGTCTGTTAAAGCAGAGGTTAGACCTGGCCAAGCAAAGTCACAGCGTGATTCTCCCGTGGGTGATCGCAGAACGGAGAAATAATCACTGCAAAGCCGGGTAAGTCTTCTCTAAATCCTCCTCCAAACGTGCAAAACAATCAAATTACATGCATCTAGTGGCGTTTCTTGCCACACGATTCCCATGATGCAACGCGACAAACGTAAACAATGACGTCACAAAAGATCCTCTCACTCTTCCAGGATGGTCTGAGCTTTAATGCAGGGATTTCCCTCCATTCACAAGACACATAAGGATCAGTGAGGTCAGACACTGATGTTTGGTGATTGGGCCTGGTTCACTTGTTATCTGTATCAATTCATCCCAGATGTGTTCATTGTCGTTCTGGGCTTTGTTCTTTCACATCAGACTTTTCTTTACGTTCAATTGCCACAATGTTAAAATCTTCTGGAATTTCATCATATTCCATAACATTAAGTATTTATATTTAAGTAACATATTTGTATTTACTAGGGTTAAGATGTCTAGACAAACCTTTTAATCACAAGGGGGTGTGCACATGTTATGCAGTGTATTTATCAATGAATGTTTTTGATTCAGATGATATTTTTTTAAACTTACATTTCAAAAATTCATTTGGTGTTCTAGGTTCTGGAGGCTCTGCAACGTGGACATTTGACACTGAAGAGTCAAAAATAATTAATATATTGTTTATTTCCTAAATGTAATCTTGTATGAATGACAACATGGTACAAATAAAACTTTCAGACCTTCTCGAGATATTCTGGCTGTTTGCTGTTGACAGGCATCCTCCAAAACCTCCTTAAACTCTGAGATCGAAATGTCCTTAAAATACAGATGAGTGTGTCGAGTGATGGGAACGTCTTCAAGTGAAGGTAAAACACACACAGACTGACAGCTCTGAAAAGAGACAAATTCAGCACTTCTTATTTAAAAAGAGACTATTTAAAAATGTGAAACAGTAAGAATAGAAACATTATGGTATAATGATTAACCCTTGTGCTGCATTAGATTTTTAACACCGTTGAGTGCATTAAGGACCAAAAATGGCCACATATTAAACATTGCCTAAAATATTATATATTATTATTATTTTACACTTTTACCAAGTTAAATCTTTTAACCAGCATCAGTCCTCATCATAACTACCAAAAATGTATTCAATTTCAGGATTTTAACCCTTTAATTACCAGTTTTGTTTGCGAAACCATCGATTTGTATAAGAGGAAAAAACACAAAAATTCAATTATTTTCAATAAACTAAATGCAAAGAGAAAACTTTAGATTTGGATTATCACAGTCCCACTTTGCAAAAAATCCCACTAAGCGCGTTAGAGACCAAAAATGGCCACCTATTAAACATTGCCTATTGCCTAAAATAAGGTGCATTTCCACCCATAGGGAATAAAAATGTAGTGACGTCATCTGGTGGAATACACTATGTAATGCAAATATAATGCTTTTGCTTCAAAATGAAAGGATGTTTGTGCAAAAATTATGTTTCATGTATTACTGACAGCCTCAGATTTAAACAACGTTTTAATGGGTTTCAATGGGCCATTTTTGGTCTTTATGGTGCTGAGTGTTACTATTTGATCTACTATTTGACAGTGTGTGTTATACATATTTTGCAAAATGGGATCACATTTTTTACATGTATCCAAAAAGTCAATTTTGCCAAATTTCATACCATTTGCATTAAAACAGCCAAAATGGTCAAAGAAATTAAACTGCAAAAGACCAAAAATATCCCTAATGCAGCATAAGGGTTAAAGGAATTGTATTACCTTCAGAAAATTGATCTGATCATCAGTTATCAGGAGTTTGTCAATCTCTGCTTGTGTTTTTCTGAGTTCTGTCAGCTCTTGATCCAGATGTTTGTGAAGTTCCTCTGCTCGATCTATCTCAGTCTTCTCCTGAGCTCTGATCTGCTCTTTAATCTCAGAGCGTTTCTTCTCCAGAGAGCAGATGAGCTCAGTGAAGACCTTCTCAATGTCCTCCATGCTCTCTAGTGCTGAACTCTGTTGGACAGGAACAACAGCCTAAATACTGTGTTTATAAGACCAGTTTCAATTAAATTACAGCATTATCATCAAGACAGTATGCATCAGTCAAATGAAGTGGTAAAACTAAAATGTCTCTTGTTTAGCGGATAAGTTTTCCAATGATTTGCAAAAATACTTTATATGATGTTTTATTAACACAGTTCGGGAGGAGCATGTTCAGAAAATCAAACCTAATTAAACAAAAGTGGAGCACACTCAGTCAACAATTAACGAGTTAAGCAGTGTATATATACAGGAAACTTCCATTCGTTGAGAGTTTAACGGCATCCCTCCACCACCCCAACTACTCACTTCTAGTCCTAATTCTCTTACAACAACGGGGAGACTACTCTGGGTTCGGGCAAAAATTCAGAGTTCGGAGCCCTCCCCTCGGACAAATGAAGCGTTTGGAAGCATTATTGCTTGGATACGATTGTGTCAAAAATGGTTCATTACTTGAAGCTTTAGTCAGATAGAAATTGGAGCACCATCTCCTGGTGAAGTAAATGTAATGCAACAAAGCTGACAACCATAAAATGCAAGTAGGCGTGTATGTTAATGCATGTTTATTACGCATTTACCGAGGTGATCAAAGCTGAAACAGTGTTAGTGCTGTGAAACTTATTTATGTAGGTGAATTTTACAGATATTGATGAATTTCATTTGCTCACCTTGATAATAAAATATTAAGCATGATATGTGTAATTATTTCTTTAGACAAGGACAGAAGATCAGGCGAACATCACAGAAATTCTAATGGTTTCAATTAAAATACCAATACCAACCATTGGCTTTAACCATTTAAACCACTACAGAATTTTTTTTTATAGTGTATTTGGGTCATATTCCATTAGGATTTAATGCCACCACCAATAGAAACCAACACATATCAGTAAAGACCCACAGAGACCACTATAATTCCCATTACAACCAATAAAATTCCCATTAAATCCAATAGAATTTCTGTAATGGTTTTTATATATAGGCCTTTTTTTAGCAGGGCAGTATCATGTGTGAAAGCTTTATCTTGTTTAGCTGTGGGAAGCAGAACTCTATAACTTGTTAATTGGTGGGACTGATTTTTTTGTATGCTGAAAAGGATGTGCTTGTGTAACTGGTTGTACTTGTATAATGTAGTAGAATGAAGTTTCAAAAACCTGCCTTTCTCCATATCATTCAATACATATGTAAAAATATATGATGCAGAAATGTCAAAGAACTAACCTTATTAGGGGAAATAAGTTTAAAGTGTCCCAAACTTGGGAACGACTTCTCTTTCTTGCTGGCTCCATCACAACACTAAAATAAACTCAATCCACTCTCACTCAATAATACACTGACTACTACAACCCATGGTGTTGCCATGGTTTGGCTTCACTTTTATCAGAAATACAGCCGCCAGGTTTCAAACCTGTCGACACTGGATTGGGCTGTCAAAGCAGCAGTCAGGTGACTAGTGACATAATGATACAAGCTCCGAAGCAGTGGTTCATGGCAAGGACCGTTCGAGTTTGAAGCAAGCTTCGGAGCATCGGTGTCAGCCGTTACCGTAACATCACTACCAAATACGCATAATCTTTACTCTGTTTAATTGATGAAAGTGTGAACTTGTGAAATTACTGCATAGAACTGAAAGTTACATTCCCAGAAAAAAACAGCAACTTTTGCATATGCATATCTCCATATAAAACTGCATACAAGTATGTGTTTGGTTTTCCACTGTAAACGTCGCTTAAGATTTTCCGTAAGATTCCTTAATAATACATCACTTTTACGAGAGCTGTAAACATCACTGTCATCTTCTGATACTCACTTTAAAAGACTTCACAGCTTCACTGAGTTCCCGCTGACCTCTCTCTCGCTCCTGGATCAGCTTCTGACACGACACCTTTACCTCCTTCAACTCTTTCTGTGGATGTTTACATAAAAGAAGTAGGTAGGTTATAGTATTTCAGTAATTTAAATAGATAAATAAATAACATTGAGTAATATATATATATATATATATATATATATATATATATATATATATATATATTATAAACTAAGGAAAAAAAGACAACTACCTGAAGTTACACAAGCATTGATTACCTTTTTACTAATCCACGCTGAATCCACAGACACCACATTATGTCCTTTATGATTGTCAGTAACACACAAACAACAGATACACTGACGATCATCCTGACAGTAAATCTCCAGTAGTTTCCCATGACTGAGACAGATGTTCTCCTGAATGTGTCTGGAAGCTTCGACTAGTTTGTGCTTCATAAACGCAGGAGATTGATAGTGAGACTGCAGGTGAGTTTGACAGAAGGAGGCCAAGCACTGCAGACAGGACTTTACAGCTCTGTTCTTCTCTGTAGTGCAAACATCACACTCCACAGCAGCCGTTTGTAGAGACGTCGTCTTCTGCAGCGTCTCCATCATCTCAGCTATCAGAGTGTTCTTCTTCAGTAGAGGTCTCTGACTGAAGCTCTCTCTGCATTGGGGACAGCGGTACGGCGGCCCCTGCTCCTTCTGGCCCCAGCAGTCAGTAATACAGCTCATACAGTAACTGTGTCCACAGGGAATCGTCACCGGCTCCTTCAGAGGATCCAAACACACTGGACAGCTGAACTGATCCACACACTGACTCGCTGCAGATTCAGACATTTCTTTGCAGTGTTTAAGATGATCAGATAATCAGCTTCTGTAAAAAGAACTGTCTAGCCAAGAAAATCAGTTATTTGTCTTTTTGTTTTTTTACTTAAGTGAAAGTATGAATACTGCCAAGATTTTACAAAGTCCAAGTATAACCAAAAATGTATTTGAGAGAAACCTAATCACAATTTTAATCATAATGTTTACATTTTTTTAACTGAGGGGAAATAAATTCTGTTCTCTGCTGATCAACTGCAGGCTGTAAATTATGCTGTTATATCTATGCTGTCAATAGAGTTTAACTCGTATTTATCCAGAATAGTCTTATTAGTCATGATCACCACAGAAATATTTGTATTTTTAAACAATCTTCTAAATTATAAAGTGTAAAAAGTATAGTTGTGAGGTATCGAGTATTTCAATTCAATAGCCTAACTCACTTGTTTTCATTAGACAACAAAATACAAAAATAATTGTTTAGCAATGAAGTACAAAGTAACATTTTGTTTCATCAGGCCTGTTACAAGTTACAGGATTAGAAACTCTGAAGCCAACACACCCACCCACACACACCCACACAAATACATATTTGTTCGCGATTTCTTTCTAAAAGCAGATAACCATGATAAAGTCATAATCATTATGAAGTCCTTACCTCGACAGAAATGCAACTCAAATATGATTTGCTTATAAAGGTTTAGACACAAAGAACAGCGGTGTTTATCAATTACAGAGGCTGAATCAATTGTAGAGGCGAAATAGTCTAAGTTTCATTTCTCTTGAATTCAATAACTTACTTCCTGGTTCTCTCAGCGCTTAAACAAAACAATGGGCGTGTGTTCTGTGTGAGATTAAAAAAAATCAAGGTTTAAATTCTTTTAAATATCAGGCATCATGCATTCAAAAGTAAAAGTCTATTACTATTTTTGCCGAAGACTAGGCAACTATTCCGTGTGTAACTATATTTGAATTTAAATATGTTTTACTCAAATACATTAATCATCTGAGGAGTCAGTCTTTAAACAAACTATAATGACATTGTACAAGATATACATATTAACAGAATAACTCATTAAGATGTGGAGATTATATTCATTGTATTTTTAAAAAGCAACACATTGTTTAATGTGTAACACTAATAATTTCCATAAACAATGACATAATGAAATGACACTGTTAAACTCTAGTCTGATTCACAGTTGTGTTAAAGATGTCACTGCCATTAATTCAAGCCAAGTGTGCCCAGGACCGGCGAGACACAGACAGCCAGACCTCCTTTGATTTTGAATAGAACAAACACATTTATTTTAATAAACCCATTTTAAATTTAGTTTTACATTTAGTGAAATATGTTCATTTTCTAACAGTAAAGTATCTAAACACAGACAAACAATGTGCTGACGTTGGGTAATGTGGGTAAAAGTTTCATCTAAACTTTAGACAGCATGATAAAAAAATGAATCCATGAAATCCAATTTTACAATTCGTATTTGTATTTAATATTATAGTGTTTATTATAAATGATTTATCTGTGCACGTCGTTCATTTTTTTAAAATTCATGCACCCCTTATAATCCTTAATTAAATACGTTATTTTTTGCTCCCCGCTCGAAACGACTTCTCTTCTCTTCCTATCATGTGCTATGGCGTGGCTATCTGGGTATGTCTCGTTTCTGCCAGGGTTTCATATAAATATGGGGTGATATTCCTTCTGGAAAATGTAGCTGCTCGTCCTCGTTCTCATCGTCGGGCTCCTCAATAAACAATGCTACAAGGGAGGGTACCGGTGGTGAGTCCAGTGGAGAGTAATCCTCCACAACTGAGTGCAAACTGGCATTCAACGTCCAACGATCCAATCAATTGCCGAAGGACAAAATCAAGAATAAAAATTTCAGAAGCCGTTACACTCGGATATACTGCACGTCACAATAAGGTGAAAAAGAAAATCTCAACTTCCATTTCATGCCGACTTTAAGAGTGAATGGGAGTTGAATAATCATTGAAATGTTATGCCTTTTGTTCATCTAAACTACAAATTACATTTTAATTTAAACACATACACATTTTAGTTTAGCAATTGAATCTGATACTCGATCAATTATGTTTATTTCTTGTCTGTCTGAACTCTCTTCTGCTCTATGATCCTAATAGAAGAACCTGTACCAACCCCAAACGCAGGGTATAAGGGTTCGGTGAAAGTGGTCTGGACTCTGTGAAGGAGAGTCATTGTGTCAGAGACGCTGTAGAAGGAGAGAGTTCCTGCTCTGTGATCCAGATACACTCCTATTCTAGAGGAGCAGACAGCAGGGATTAAGACTTGGGTTTTACCATGTGTGAAATAGACATTCTGCCGAAAATACCACAATCTCCAAGATATTTTGTTGAAGCCAAGAGTACAGTCATTACTATTTCCTTTACGTCTAATTCTTTTGTAACAAACTGCTATAGCACAGTCGTTCCCACTGCACTCGACCTCCCAGTAACAGCGACCGCACAAACCCTCTCTAGACAAGATGTAGGGAAACACATTAAATCGCTCTGGTTGATCAGGATATTGCTGATCTTTATTAACATATGATATTTTCCTGCTCTCCTCAGACAGTTTCACGTTTCTATGTGCAGTGTTTAGATCCAGGTGAAATTCACAGAAATCTGAGGAGGAATGAACAAAAAAAATTTTATATTGAACTTTAAAGTAAACTTTGGTTCCAAATGGTCACTTTGTAACAGATAATATCCACTGATACTTATCAATTATTGACTTGAAGAAACCACAATTCAACTCACACTGCGAAACGTAATTTGGGGTCTTTGGTTCTGGAGACTTTGCAACATTAACGTTTGACACTGAAGAGAGAAAACATAAGTGTAAGATTAAATTGTTGGTTTTAGAGTATGAATGACACAACATATCAAAAGATTCAGACCTTCTGGAGATATGAAGGCTGTTTGTTGTTGACAGACGTCCTCCAAAACCTCTCTGAATGATGAGATTGAAATGTCTTTAAAAGACAGATGAGTGTGTTGAGTGAAGCTGGGAACGTCTTTTAATGTGGGTAAAACACACACAGACTGACAGCTCTGAAATGAGACAAATAATAATTCAAGTATGATTTGTGAAGCAGAATTGATCTTTTCCAAAACATTTAACAACCACCAATAATGTTTAGATTCTCAAAATGTTTAAAGTACAGAACAATGAATAGTGAGTCCTAAAGTATACCATTACACACATGATAATTATAATTAATTACCTTCAGACCATGAAGCTGATCATCATTAATGAGAAGTTTGTCAATCTCTGCTTGTGTTTTTCTGAGTTCTGTCAGCTCTTGATCCAGATGTTTGTGAAGTTCCTCTGCTCGATCTATCTCAGTCTTCTCCTGAGCTCTGATCTGCTCTTTAATCTCAGAGCGTTTCTTCTCCAGAGAGCAGATGAGCTCAGTGAAGACCTTCTCAATGTCCTCCATGCTCTCTAGCGCTGAACTCTGTTGGAGACACACAGATCTGATCATGGAGATTGTTGTGACTAAAGTTGGTGCAATAGTCAAAATAATGGATTTTTTTTTTCTTTCAAATTCTCTAAATGTATACAAGCAGTCGAATTAGGCTGTATCTGTTCCAAACAATGTACATAACAGGTAGACAGTAAACTAGTGGCTAAGTTTCAATAAGAACACCCTGAATTCAATTGTATGTTGTCGTGACTCAAAATTTTCTACATTTATTAAATTCAAAATACCAACTTTTGTGTGTCAAACAAACTTTAAAACTCAAGAACACATAAAGAAACATACTTTAAGAAGCTTTACAGCTTCACTGAGTTCCTGCTGACCTCTCTCTCGCTCCTGGATCAGCTTCTGACACGACACCTTTAACTCCTTTAACTCTTTCTAAAAAAAAGAAAATTGAAATCTAATAAATGCAGAATATGCAACACAATAATTATAATAAAATAGTAAAAAATATTGTTGATATTACCTTTTTACTTGTCCATTCTGAATCCACAGACACCACACTGTGTCCTATATGATTATCAGTACACAAACAACAGATACACTGACGATCATCCCGGCAGTAAATCTCCAGTGGTTTCCCATGACTGAGACAGATGTTCTCCTGAATGTGTCTGGAAGCTTCGACTAGTTTGTGCTTCATAAACGCAGGAGATTGATAGTGAAGCTGCAGGTGAGTTTGACAGAAGGAGGCCAAGCACTGCAGACAGGACTTTACAGCTCTGTTCTTCTCTGTAGTGCAAACATCACACTCCACAGCAGCCGTTTGTAGAGACGTCGTCTTCTGCAGCGTCTCCATCATCTCAGCTATCAGAGTGTTCTTCTTCAGTAGAGGTCTCTGACTGAAGCTCTCTCTGCATTGGGGACAGCGGTACGGCGGCCCCTGCTCCTTCTGGCCCCAGCAGTCAGTAATACAGCTCATACAGTAACTGTGTCCACAGGGAATCGTCACCGGCTCCTTCAGAGGATCCAAACACACTGGACAGCTGAACTGATCCACACACTGACTCGCTGCAGATTCAGACATTTCTGAAGGAATAGCCTACATAAATAATCATGTAAATCATTAATGAAAGAGCATGTATAAAAATATACATAATGCTTTCAGTTTTGTGCATTAATATTAAAGAATCCTAAACTCTTCACCCGTAACCAAAAGAATAAACATAAGACATCCAAATTAACATGCAACTATTATTAAACATATACAGTAATATTTTTTTTAATGCAAGCAAGACGACTTAAAACCACTTTATGAGGTTCTTACCTGATTTGCCAGAATATCAACAAATATTCAAATATTCCCTCCTTTACAGCTTTAACCAAACTGGAAGAGTGTGAATCCTCAAGTAGAGGCTTGTGTAGCAGGGACATAGGTTTCGTTTCTCTCAAACCCACAAGTTTCCTGATTTTCAGTAGCAGGGAAATAGGTTTCATTTCTCTCGAATCCACAAACTTGTTATTGTGAAGCCGTGACTTTGCAGTTTTAATGCCCTACTCTTTGTACTTTGCTTAACATCATACCGTATCTCTTGGCACCAATAATCAGTTGAATAGTTTGTAATAAGTTACAGAAAATGTGTGTTTTTTAACTGCTAACACAGTCCCAGCATTTGTGAGTATGATTAAATGATTTCATGTTTGTTGTACAATGTCATTGGCATCAAACCTTTCAGAAATTATTTGCTTTAACAAGTGATGCTTTTCATTCAGAGAAGGGAGAACAATAATAATCACAGACAATCTCACAAAGATCATGAATTCTGGAGACCAAATAGTGCCTAAAACTGCCACATTTTCACCCAATGATAACACAAACCGCACGATTTCATTTTATTTTCTCTTTATCTGATCAAAATTACAACATTAATTACATACTAAACTGAAGAAAGCAGAAATCTAAAGATAAATCTGAAACAAACATTTTTACAATGTACTGGTAGAAGGTCTATATTAAAAACTGTGCCTCTTTGAAAAGGTTTCAAACAGTATTAATTGAAATCCACTCTGAGAGTGTTGAAAGGTGTATTATATTCATATTTTACACTGCCCACCAAAAAAAGTCACTATTTGGATTTAAAGGTGCATTGCGCAAGTATCTGAGCTTTTGCAGAACTACGCCCCCTCTGGCGACAAGCGAAACTGCAACCCAGAGGTGTGCACACTCATGGACCACACACGCTCGCACAAGCTGTTCATAACCAAAGGAGCATCAGCCGCACAAATCTTTTGTTCAAGTCATAATGTTTTCAGAGGTAATAAAGTTATAAATCTGCAAGTCATTTTAAATATATGAAAGGAAAGGCGTTTGAGTAAATTACACACTTATGTGTGTGTGTGTGTGTGTGTGTGAGGGGAAAACGGGGGTAACGTTAGTAGAAAACTTCGTTTTTTCTTTCCATCTATCTCCATGTTGAACTGTTTTATGTGCTTACTGTATCCACTTATGATTGTAATATTATGGAAACACGTTCATGAACAATATAAGTTATTACTTTGTATAGGACCCGTTTGAGCTCTAGAGCAGACGGAGATCTCTCCATTTGTTGAAAGCTTCCTGATGTTGACTCTCGTCTTACTCCGACGCCTGGCACTAGACAAACGTTTTATTTTTCTTTGTCTTACGTGGAGTTTGCGTTGGGGTTTGGAATAAACTACAAGCCGGTGTCTTTGAATCCATCTTCTACTTTTGACTAAAGTTTTGTCGCTCGAGTTGTCTTCGCTGATACGGAGAATGGCAGCGAATACACAAACCTGCAGGACATAGCCAGGCGAGCGTGAACGCATGACGTCACGGCAGTCTCATATTCCGTCCTGAATCCCTCTTATTTATTTTACTGTACAGGATTATAGAGGCAATCGCAGTGATCAGAGCAGGGCTCGTTCAGCCCATCAGGCAATTGTTTAAGCATGTATGGGTTAGAAAAACTGGCTATTTTAAACTTGAAATGTTGCATAATGCACCTTTAAATTGGCAAATGCTTAAGAGTCTAAGATTGGATCATTCATTATTGCAGTGACTATTATGTTTCTAGCATGTTATACGTTTGGCAACAGTTCTTCTAACCCTTATTGATGGAGTGTGTAGCTTTTCATTTCTTAAACAACCATGTAGGAAAACACATCAAGATCATATTCCAGCATGATTGAAAATTTTTGGGTTGTGCTGGAGGAGACTTCACAGAGTGCTTGACTCTTGCATTGTTAAAACAGACTGATCTCATGAAATGGCGTATGTATGACACGCCAATTCGTATTTCCATTTTTGCCGTGCTATCAACACGCATAATCGCTTTTCAGCGTGTTTATGAACGCCATTGACTTAACGTTATTACTGTACATATAAATATATGACCTACCCCAACCCCGTCCCTAAACCTACCCGTCACTGGGGTTAATACCATTTATGAGTCTTCCCCTTTCCTAGGAAAAATAAAGCTCCCCAGATGTAGATCATTTTTATTTTGCTTCGCTTGGACATTTGACGTTATGTACATACACGCGGATAGCTAAAAATGCGTATAGAAAACACGCCACTTGACTTGAAAGTGGCATGTATGTTAAACGCAAAAGTCATGATGCCATGTTGTTAATACAAGATCTTGACCAAAAATGTATGCAGCTCTTGATGGAAATCTTGTAGAAAGATCTTGTCTTGACGATGTAAGAGTCAAGCACTCTGTTAAAGGGTTAGTTCACCCAAAAATGAAAATTAAGTCATTAATTACTCACCCCCATGCTGTACCAACCCCGTAAGACCTTCGTTCATCTTCGGAACACAAATAAAGATATTTTTGATTGAATCTGAGAGCTGTATCACTGCTACATAGACTGCCTAAGGGACTGGCTCTTGACAGCCCATAAAGTCATTAAAGAAAAGGTTTAAATATTCCATGTGCCTACAGCGGCTCAATTATAAGTTTATCAAGCGACGAGACTACTTTTTGTGCGAAAAAAACATAAATAACGACTTTATTCCACTATTCCATTACTTCCTTATGGGCGCGTGCGCGAGAACTGAGACGAGGACGTTCTCATTCGTCTACTTTTTGTTACCGGCTGCTCTCCGCTTAGGAGTATTACTGCCCCCTACCGTATAAAATGATGTGCTGATATAGCTGGAAGCGCAAAACTTTCTGTTTACAAGCAGAGGAAGATGCGCGCTGTACATACGCTTTTCAATTTGCGTATTTTCCGCACTATAAGGTGCACTTAAAAGCCTTTAATCTTCTCAAAAAACTACAGTGTTCCTTATAATCCGGAGCGCCTTATATATGGATCATCATTTTATACGGTAGGGGGCGGTAAAACTCCTAAGCGGTGAGCAGCCGGTAACAAGAAGTAGACGAATGAGAACGTCCTCGTCTCAGTTCTCGCGCATGCGCCCATAAGGAAGTAATGGAATAGTGGAATAAAGTCGTTATTTATGTTTTTTTCGGACAAAAAGTAGTCTCGTCGCTTGATAAACTTATAATTGAGCCGCTGTAGGCACGTGGAATATTTAAACCTTTTCTTTATTGACTTTATGGGCCGTCAAGAGCCAGTCCCTTAGGCAGTCTATGTAGGACTGATCCAGCTCTCAGATTCAATCAAAAATATCTTTATTTGTGTTCCAAAGATGAACGAAGGTCTTACGGGGTTGGTACAGCATTGGGGGTGAGTAATTAATGACTTAATTTTCATTTTTGGGTGAACTAACCCTTTAAGTCTCTATAACATGCTAGAAACATAATCAAACTGTGAGTAATAGACTCTTAAAGGGTAACTAAACCCTTGGTCAGAGCCTGACTCCACACACTGACAATATTTGAAAATGCTGAAAAAGTGGGCTGACCCCAGTGAAGATAGAGGGGATGAAATAGATGCTAAAACACTCTATCCTGATCGTTTTCAATACTCACAATTCCAATTCCTGACTCCCTACAGTGTTTTGACGACACAAGATGGTTTTTATACTGCCAAGGGCGTAGCTCGCGTGGTTAGCTGAAACCTGCGTACGTCACGAAGTGCAGAACATCCAATAGGAAAATTCAACTGCAGTAGCCACCGTTCAACCTGAAGATGGCAGCACTAAGACGTTTTTACACCATATATTGTAGAAATAGAACACTTTATACACAAATGTCAAAAAAGTTACTCGAATCAATGACTGGTGTTAATAAAGATCCATTCTTACAGATCATTAACTAAAAAAAGTTGGTTTAGTGTTTAGTTACTCTTTAAGCATTTGCCTATTTAAATCCAAACAGCAACTTTTGTGTATATTTAACTCAGTCATGTCATTTTTAATGTATTATTTTTCTGACATATTATATTTTAAACTCTGCTTTTCTACGATCCTGACTGATGAAACTTGTCCAGTGTAAAACGCAGGGTATAAGGGTTCGGTGAAAGTGGTCTGGACTCTGTGAAGGAGAGTCATTGTGTCAGAGACGCTGTAGAACGAGAGAGTTCCTGCTCTGTGATCCAGATACACTCCTATTCTAGAGGAGCAGACACCGGGGATTGAGACTTGGGTTTTATCGTGTGTGAAATAGACATTCTGTTGCGAGCGGGACAATCTCCAAGAGTTTTTGTTGGAGCCAAGCCTACAGTCATAATTTCTTCCCTTACGTCCAATTCCTTTGTAACAAACTGCTACGGCCCAATTGTTCCCACAGCACTCGACTTCCCAGTAACAGCGACCGCACAAACCCTCTCGACACAAGACATTCACATATCTATCAAATCGCTCTGGGTGATCAGGATACTGCTGGTCTTTATATGTAAATGATATTTTCCTGCTGTCCACAGACAGTTTGAGTTTATTGTTTGCAGTGTTTGGATCCAAGTTAAGTTCAGAGAAATCTGAGGAGGAATTAGCAAAAAACAAATATTAAAACAATCAAATTGTAACAGATCATTTCCACTGATACTTATCAATAAATGAGTGTTTGCCTTGAAGAAACTACAGTTCAACTTACACTGCAAAAAATCATTTGGCATCTTTGCAACATGAACATTTGACACTGAAGAGACAAAATAAGACAAGCGTACGGTTAATTTGTTGGTTTAATCCAACAGACTCTGAGTGGCAAAACTATATATCAAAATATTCAGACCTTCTTGTGATATTTTGGCTGTTTGCTGTTGATGGACGTCCTCCAAAACCTCTCTGAATGTTGAGATTGAAATGTCTTTAAAATACAGATGAGTGTGTTGAGTGATGGGAACGTCTTCAAATGTGGGTAAAACACACACAGACTGACAGCTCTGGAATGAGACAAATACAGCACTGCTTATTATGTAAACGAGACAGTTTAAAAATGTGAAACGGTAAGAATAGAAACATTATGGTATAATTATTAAAATAATTGTATTACCTTCAGAAAATTGATCTGATTATCATTAATCAGAAGTTTGTCAATCTCTGCTTGTGTTTTTCTGAGTTCTGTCAGCTCTTGATCCAGATGTTTGTGAAGTTCCTCTGCTCGATCTATCTCAGTCTTCTCCTGAGCTCTGATCTGCTCTTTAATCTCAGAGCGTTTCTTCTCCAGAGAGCAGATGAGCTCAGTGAAGACCTTCTCAATGTCCTCCATGCTCTCTAGCGCTGAACTCTGTCGGAGACACACAGATCTGATCATGGAGATTGTTGTGACTCAAAACAATGCAGGTAGAAAGTAAACGAGTGGCAGTCAATCTCCAAAAGTCAAGTACATCATGAATTGTGTCATGAATCTTTCAGCAATTTTTTAATCAATTTTTGGAGCTCAAACCCCATTGGTCATGGTCTATAATAATTTAGGTAAAAAAAATATTTTTTTGCATCTCAAACAAACTTTACAACTAAACAACACATAAAAAAACATACTTTAAGAAGTTTCAGAGCTTCACTGAGTTCCTGCTGACCTCTCTCTCGCTCCTGGATCAGCTTCTGACACGACACCTTTATCTCCTCTAACTCTTTCTGAGGATGTTAAGATAAAAAAATATATATATAATAAAAACAGGCAAACATAGACACCAGTCCAGTAAATGATATTATTCTTGATGTTACCTTTTTACTAGTCCATTCTGAATCCACAGACACCACATTATGTCCTTTATGATCATCAGTACACAAACAACAGATACACTGATGATCATCCTGGCAGTAAATCTCCAGTAGTTTCCCATGACTGAGACAGATGTTCTCCTGAATGTGTCTGGAAGCTTCGACTAGTTTGTGCTTCATAAACGCAGGAGATTGATAGTGAGACTGCAGGTGAGTTTGACAGAAGGAGGCCAAGCACTGCAGACAGGACTTTACAGCTCTGTTCTTCTCTGTAGTGCAAACATCACACTCCACAGCAGCCGTTTGTAGAGACGTCGTCTTCTGCAGCGTCTCCATCATCTCAGCTATCAGAGTGTTCTTCTTCAGTAGAGGTCTCTGACTGAAGCTCTCTCTGCATTGGGGACAGCGGTACGGCGGCCCCTGCTCCTTCTGGCCCCAGCAGTCAGTAATACAGCTCATACAGTAACTGTGTCCACAGGGAATCGTCACCGGCTCCTTCAGAGGATCCAAACACACTGGACAGCTGAACTGATCCACATACTGACTCGCTGCAGTTGCAGACATTTCCTCTTCTCTTTTTCCTTTGCCTCTTTTTTCTCAGATAGTCTTCTAATATAAACTGTTCTACCTGAAGTAAAGCACCAAAAAAGTGTATAGCCACATGTAAATCATAAATGAAAGAGCACGTCTAAAAATCTACCAAATGTTTACACTTTTGTGTATTCATATGACCCTAAACGTTTCATTCCCAAACCAAAACAATACGACATCAAGATTAACACAAAATACAGTGATCATTTAATGCTCTTTATTTCGATACAAGCAAAAAGACACAGGAAAAAAACATTATTTAAGGATTCTATGAAGTCTCACCTGCTTTGGTAGAACACAAAAGTCAAATATTAACCCGACTAACGGTTCCCTTTTTTCTTGAATCCACACACACTTCCTGGTTCTCAGTGTGCAGATGTGCGCATGTGTCCCGAGAAACAGAGCAAGTAAAGACCAAGAGTGTGAAGGAGATTATAATTTGATGCCATGACTCAGCATTTCATTGCTCCTTCAGTATTTTGTTCAGAATAATATCGTATCTCTTCATACCAATACAACCGGAAGTAAAATGTAAACCCAGGACGCAAAAATCACAAAACGGAACCATGCCATCATCAGTTATAAAATGTATCTTGCTTTGGCATTAAATGATAATCAAATGTGATTAAACATGCACAATAAAACAACATTATTTATAGTATCTGTCACGTAGGAACGACAACGGAAAAGCTGTTCTTCCGTAGACAGTTGAAGTAGACTACGTAGGTGTCACGAAGTAGAAATTAATGTCGCTCATGCACAATTTATTATTTTTCTTTTTCAGTTCAGTCGCAGCTGTTGCTTAAGTCCCTAATTTTCAGACCAGTCGAATGGTGTCTAACTGACAGAATTGAATTTTTTATTATTATTTTTGTATGTTGGCTGGATGGTATTGACATCCAACCTGTCAGAAAACTTTTCTTGTTTTAAAATGATTAAAATGAGAGCAGATATTAATACAGATGTGAATAATTTGTTTTATTGCATCTTTGTCTATTTAAATGTTTCAACTGTTTCTCAGCTTGGTGTCAACACCTTAGTCAGTTATGAAACAGTAATATTACAAGCAGTAATAAGTCAACCTCATCCAATTTTTTTGGTCAACACAAGTCAATTATTTTCCCAAAGTAATTCTGACATCTTGTGGTTTGATGATGAACTGCATCAATTAACCTGGCTAAAAATGAGCACTTTCATGTCAAAATGATGAAATAGAAAATCCAAATCCAATAGAAAAATCCAAAAAGATTAAATAACAGTACAACCCTGTCTGTCCCTCAGACTCTTTCATAACCGCTGAAAATCAAATATGGCGCTGCCATACACTATCACTTTTTGTGAATTTATTCATGTAAAAGCATAATAACCATAGGTTTAACTCGCTACTAAAATAAACGGAGAAGCGCGTCCCTTTATTAGTTTACATACAAGCATTTTTAAGTGGATTCAGACTTTTTACACAGGCAATTAATAATAATAATAATAATTAAAACATTAGTTTTATATTCAATTAATTTACCTGCTTTTTGACAACTAAACTATACTCTCCTACCATGTAGATTTGATCAAAATTAACAGCAGCTATAAATGCTGAATACTGGAATGTCTGGGTTACTGAAATATACACACACATTTCCTGTGCACAAAACTCTCTTGGTGCATGAGTGAAAACAAGATTAGAGCAAAGAAAGGGACTGTGACATGTCGAAACAGAAAAATCCCAAATCACAACATACATTGAATCAAACACCCAGCATCTCCACCCAACCCAAAATAGACATGTCCTTTTTTTGTTTTCTCATATGCATTTATTTTTCCATAAGACCAACGGCTGAATATTAATGTCATAATGAACAGTGACAACAGAGCAGGTAATTTCACCTTTCACACCAAACTGACTGTAAACGACAACAAAACACTGGAAAGAAAAAAAAATCAAACACTGGAATCATAAAGGCATACAAGAGTGAGAGTCAGATTGTACACAAAACTGCATCAAAGAGAAAACATGCGTTTTGACAGCTTGACTTTATTTTATATTTTAATGTGTTTTTCCTTTGTCCACACTGCAAAAACATTTTGTTTAACAATATTCTTGTCTTGTTTTCCTGAAAAAATATCTAAAACACACTTAAAACAAGATCAATTCACTTGAAATTAAGAAACAAGACATTATCAGTAAATATACACGGAATTGTTTTTGTCTCAACTCATTAGCAAATATCTTTTTTTGTTAAGTATAAAACTAAACTAATTTAAGTTTCTGCTTTTTTAAGGTTATTATTATTAAATATTAATACAATAATAATAAATTCAATATTGCCTGAAAAAGCCTAAAAAAAAATCGAATGCAATTTTGCTTTTCGAGTTAATAGATCTTGTTCAAAGGATTTCTAGGAATTTTTATGGCAAAACAAGGCAAAAAATTCAGCCACAAACTTCTGTTTTGTGCTCCGTGTGTGTGAGTGTGTGTGCTTGGGATGGGGCACAACATGTCCACCAAAAAAATTCACTTATTTGTGTAACAGTGCAGTGGCTTTTTATATTTTTATGCATAATACTTCATTAATTTTTTACTAATTTAAATAATGAATCCTCCTTTCTTTAGTGATTTTTCTGCAGAGTACATATATTTTATAAAGATTTTTTTGTGCTAACCTACTTTGGCTTCAATGATTGTTACATTCATGTGTTAAAGTCAAAAATGGGAAGCAAACACACAATAACCTGTACAAACGCACAAATATGACACTCTGAGACAACCACACACTTCCCTGTGCAGTGTCAAAACGACAAAACACTCTCTTAGACATTTTTATTTCCTTTTGCAGGTCCACGTACACGTGTGCGCATAGTGTCAGGCGTGTGAATCTATGAAGGATCTTCCTGCTTTTGCACTGCATGGTGTAAGAGCAACCCGATTGGCTGTTTCCAGACAGGAAGTGAGCCTCTGTTTGGATTCCTTTCCAGCTCAGAGCTTGATAAAATCCCCTTTGATCACCATCATAGTGGCGGACAAAACCCTCAATGACCTGCCGACACAAGAACAGCTTCTCTGACAGAACCAAACTGCTAAAACCACATTCAAGTTCAATCTGATGTGAAATGCTGTTTGAGATGGAAAGTCAAACTCTGAGGGGGTTAAAGGTGAACTGGTGCTGATGTCAATGTAACACACTCCATCTGACTGCCATCGTTAGTCAGGTATGTCAAGGCTTTTTAGAAGCAGCATCATTTTAAAGAAGATTAAAAGAGGGAAAGGGAAGGAAAAGCTTCTTTCTAGACACCAACTTTTAAGTCATTACCCTGATTCTCCGAACACCTTTCTCCCAGGACACACAGCATTTGACAAGGTTAATAAAACCACATAGCGTTCGGTCCACGAGGTTAGCCATCGAGCAGGTAGACGACGAACTCGTAGGTGCACATCATGATGGCAGTGTTGGGGATCTGCCTGACCAGGTGTGTGGTGAGTCCTCGGTAAAGAGCTCGATAGCTTTCCTCTCGGAACACTAGGTTGAGACTCTGGAAGAACGAGCGGTACTTGTTTCCTTCCTCCCTTAGCCGTGTACGGATGACCTCTGCAGAACCGAACAGAGAAAAACAAAAATATGAATGTTGAAAACAGTCATATGCACTTTTTCAAGTTTGATTGTCGTGAAATGTGCGTTGGCAGTGCCTGTACACAACCATCATATAATGATAAAAATCCATCCAGTGTTTTTGTTTTAATCTCCTTATGTTTTCCCGTCTCAAATCGAGTCGTTTGACAACAGCGTTTCAACACAGACCCGCCCTGAGCGAGCTGTCATCATAGTCTGCTATTGTTGATACGCTGGAGGCAGAATGGCGTCTAAGCGTTTTTGGTGTTCTGTTCTTGGGTGTAACAACAAACACAGTAATTTTCATGTTCCTAAACCCAAACCACTGAGTTTTGTTTTCGAAGAGAATATTCCTCACGAGGAACGTCAATGCTTTCATGTTTGCGCAACTCATTTCTCACCAGACTGCTTTATAAACGAGGGTCAGTATGAAAGAAGCTGCTTCTCAAAAAAGAAACAGTACCAATTATTAGTGTTCCTGCTGCACCTCCAGAAGAAGGGAGTGTAGAGTTTTATTAATCTTTATATTAATCTCTAAAAGTTGTTTATGACCACTGACTGTAACATCAATCTGTCAACGAACTAACGTATACATCAGTAAACACACCGTTCGTATCTCACTACTCTACCCTGCCAGTAGGGCTGCACAATTAATCGAATTTGTAATCGCGATTACAATTATGGATGCCACAATTATGTAATCGTTCAAAGGCACAATTATAAAAAGTCCACTTACATTATTCTGTGTGATTAAAATGTGTTTTTTTACAGCTTATCTTAAGGGTTTTTTCCCCATTGTTTTAATTTTAGTTAGTGTAACATTATAATTAGCATTAAAGGAACACTATCTAACATTGTTTAGGCAAGGCAAGGCAAGGCAAGTTTATTTATACAGCACATTTCATACACAATGGCAATTCAAAGTGCTTTACATAGAAGAAATTAAAATAATCAAAATAAATCAGAATAATTAAAACAGCGCAACTTAAAATAATGTTTCCAAAATCTTATCAGTGGTTCATTAAGTCGTAACAGGGTGAAAGGCACTTCTGCCGTCGCCTGACGGGGTCTGTATCACTTTTACTGGCACTATGTAACTTCGGGGTTCGGGTAGGAACCCGACCACAAAAAGAACTACAAAATTCGACTGCTTTACATCAAGCACTATAATAGTCATTATTTCGTTTTTCTTCGTTTCTGATGTCGCAATACATCATCCTTTCATGAAATCGTGTAACATACTCTACCTTGTCTGTGGACATCGTTCATTCTAAAGCCGCTGCTGGATAAACAGCGAGCGTGCGTGCGACGGTAGGCTAAATTATTTACGACAGCGGCAATGGACAATTTCGTTTCCAACCAGTAGGGCGACCGAAGAGGAAAAGTTACTCGGTGTTACTTTAAACCATAGAAAAGCATTGAAAGTTTTTCAGGAGTTTTCAGCCATTTTATTTTGATATAACAATTTGCATGCAGTCACTTCGAACAATGGCATAAAGCTGTTCAAAACATCATTCAATGTAAATTGTGATAATCGTAATTAATAATCGCAATTATAATTTCAAGGCAATAATCGACAATTATGATTTGTCATAATCGTGCAGCCCTACCTGTCAGTGCATACACAAATAGATCAAAGTGACATTACATTAACCAACCATTCAGAAATGTCCTGTTCGAGCCCTAAGTGACCCTTCGCTAAGCCCCGCCCCCCCCTAGTTACTGTTGCTACGCCTGTCAAGCTTTCACAGCTAGCACATCTATTATAGTGGTGTCAGACATTCCCAATGAGATAATTAGTAGTTTTTGGCAAACATGTGAAATATCGTAGAGAGCAAGACAAAAGGGATTGCAGTATTCCATTCGAGGGATATGTTCTCAACATAATATGCAACCGATTAGAGAATAATTTCTTAAAAATTTAAGCTAAAGCCTATAGTCCCAGCGCAAGCATCAGCACCTGACCATTAAAATGGAAACACACAAATTGAGGAACAGCTATGCTTGTGCACAGAAGGGTGATCTATGGCAGGCAGGGTGGACATATAATTACTTGACATGTTTTATATAAGTGATTTCTTAAGTTATTTACGCCTGTCGGCTGTGTACGGACGTTGGTTTTTGCCGTTATTTTGTATTGAAGTCTATGGGGAGTCTAGTTTGTTTCCCCCAAAAGGGGGCGGGGACAAAATTGACAGTTAAGTTCCCGGATGTGCCGGTTGTTTCTCCAAAATATACCCTCAACTGTTGTCAAGGCAACACTCCACAGAACAGAGGGGCGGAGTCAGCAAAGCTCATTATCATTTAAAGGCATATGCACTGAAACTGCTGTTTTTGACCAGGTAAAATTTGTGTTTTCCTAATGTTTATGATTTACAGTGATTACAAAAAAAGGAGTGGATGGATTTTTACCAATAGAGTCTGGTTGCTTACACACACACATCAGTGAATTTTGCATAATAGGTCCCCTTTAAAAAGATAGTGCTCTGATGGGTAAATGCACATGCTCACCGTGTGGATAGGCTATCGATGTGGCGCAGGTCTTGGAGGTTGCGGCTGCCAGCATCATGCCCACAAAGTCTGAGGCGTCCTTGGCCGTGTCCTCATGCTCATCCATGTGTGTTGCTGCTTTAGCTTCTAAAAGACGGCGTTTGATGCTTTCATAGACCACAAAATGGATCACAGTCTCTGAGATTCCCGCGTAGGATGCGGACATGCCGCGGTAAAACCCACGCAGGCCTTCCTTCTGATACACGCGGCGAACACACTCAAACGCATTCATACGACGCTCCCCGCGGTTCCTGTGCAGAACAAAACATGCTTTACTAAATGAAAAACAATGGGATCAGGAATAATAAGCACTAAACCCATGATCTCAGTCTAAGGAATCAGTCATTAGGGATATTGATCAAACAATCCATTCTAGCTCACGTCCCACGTGTCTGTTTGCATTTACCTGGCATCCAGTTGTAGACGTGTCTTAATCAACCAAATTGGGTTTGTTGCCGTTATTGCCGTGAACCCTGGAAAGATTAAGGTGAAAATTTACTAAGCTGAAAATTACAATTCAGTTCGTCTACAATTCGCTTAGCTTTATCGTGTCACGATCAGCGTGAAAGGGGCTTAAAGGTGCAAGAAAACTCTATCATATGTACTCTGAGAGTTAATCTAAATCCTTCTTGGAAAAAGTCCAGATTACAGGTGAGAAGAGACAACACACACGCTCACTTCTGTCCATCTGCCAGATCTGTGACATTTTACAGGCCTGACGTTCAGAGATAAAGGGGTTAATGTGTTAACCAGTCCCTATCGGAGCCCATGAGGAACAGGGACGTAGTTGAATTGCATGGTGAAATATAATGGAAGTTACCTGCGATCCCAGCAGACGTCATGTGCACCTGCGTGGTGTCTGGCTCAAACACACAGTTCAGTCTCTCCTTTGAGCAGGAATAGGCTGCGAAGTAGATGGCCCTGGAAACACAGGAGGATTGGACACAAATGAGTAATAATAAAACACAACCTAACTTACTTTACAAAAACAAACTGGTCAGGCTGTTTTTTGCCACTTGGTTGCCAACCAGATAAACCAGCTGAATACCATTCAAAATGCCAGACTGGGAGACTAACTAAACCAGCCAAGACAAGCAAACCATTATGTCTGTTCTAAGATGTTCTTTGCAGCAGGGAAGCTGGTAATTAGCTGGTCCAAACTGGTCATTATCTGCAACAAAACAACCTCATAGTAGTTGGAACTAGCTGTGACCAGCTTATTTCCAGCTTAGAAACCATCTACCATGTTATAAACACAACTACCAAAGCCAATGCTTGATTTTTCAAAAGAATAGCATTTTGACAATTCTGTATGTATTTAACTGTTTAAGCGCATTAAAGGAGAGCTCCGGCGAACAATGAACCTTTGGTCTAATAAAACGTCGGTACCTAGTCAACCATTCTCTGAGTTTTGTTTTCATGATAATCGAATGTAAAGAGTTTTATCTCTAAAAACTGTTTAGCGTATAATGCTAGTAATGGGGGCATTGAGTAAATAAAAAGAAATCGCTAGTTTATACCACTAACAAGGCTCAAAATAGCCCCACACTAACACCGTAACATAATGAGGCTCCATACATGCAAAACGAAGCATTGAGAACTTTGTAAGTGTACAGACCGTTTAATAAGAAGATACTTTATGAAGACAGTTCACTTCACGTATACAGACAGGAGCCATCTTAAAAAATAGTCTCGATAAATCGATCCCCGAACGCCGTTCATACAGTTCAGAAGTTCGTTGAACTTCATAGAGTTCAGATCACTCAGCACGACGTTCGTGGTTTGACTTATCGAGACTATTTTTTAAGATGGCTCCTGTCTGTATACGTGAAGTGAACTGTCTTCATAAAGTATCTTCTTATTAAACGGTCTGTACACTTACAAAGTTCTCAATGCTTCGTTTTGCATGTATGGAGCCTCATTATGTTACGGTGTTAGTGTGGGGCTATTTTGAGCCTTGTTAGTGGTATAAACTAGCGATTTCTTTTTACTTAGTCAATGCCCCCATTACTAGCATTATACGCTAAACAGTTTTTAGAGATAAAACTCTTTACATTCGATTATCATGAAAACAAATTTCAGAGAACGGTTGACTATGTACCGATGTTTTATTAGACCAAAGTTTCATTGTTCGCCGGAGTTCTCCTTTAAGCCACAAAATAAACTAAATTTGGTACTCGCAAGCTGTTTGAGAGGCGGTTTTATAAGCACCACTAATACAAATGAGTGGTGTGTGTGTGCTTTCGGTGGGAGCGAGAAACCTATGCAGCTGTAATCGGTGTATCGAAAAGGTAGCCTAGAAATCTAGACGCACCCTAGCGGCAGCAAAAATTATTTTGCAGCAAAGTGTGGTCTAGCAACTCTCCGTTGACTTTCGAAGTGGAAAAACCAAACTCTGGTCCGGCCAATCACATCGTGTATAGAGTTGGTGGGCGGGCTTAACACAATGATGGCAGAGTTGTGACGGTTCTGCGCCGTGATTTCCATAGGTGATTTCCCTGCTACTTGAAAACAAACAAGATGCTGCTGGCGAACAGCGGTCTTTCCATTCGGCTTTGGCCGCGACTCGGATGACTTAGAGTTAAGAGAACGTCACTTAAGTCATTGTTATAAAAGGAAGATGTGCTCAGAGTTTTGATGACCGGATACGGCAAAAGTTTAATATATAAACTTGCTCCGCTGCAGGGAAGATGCATGGGACTCACTCAGCCACAGCCATTCATTGGTTGGTTAGCGCTATCCTATGGCGTGCAGAGGGATATTGAAAGACAACCTTTTATCCCGCCCCCCGGATTGAGGTATGCCAATTGTGAGTTCCCAGACCAAACATCTTGATAGGTCTAGCTTGCCAGGCTATCGAAAAGGAGTAATGGGACAGTTTCAGATATTTCAGTATCGATACATATCCAAATAGCAATATTTTTGATTTTGACAACACTAACACAGCATATACCCACTTTTCGGGAACACCCAATGGGCGACAATGACAAGCTGTTTCTCGCAAATCCCCACATGTAATCTCAAATGTTTGCACATGCAGTTTCCTGAACCATGGTGACCACTCCAACATTAAACACTCTCCACACGCGCTCAGCAACTAATCTCAAGTTCAATCTCACCTTACTGTCCATATAACACACACGTTTACATAACTTTAAGTAACAGGCTCAGCACCAGTAGTCACAGATTTATCATGCGTGCCTCATTGGATAAACGCTTTATCCTGACCGTGTGCACGTAAAAACATCTGTTCATACAGAAGCTAAATGTTAAAACCGCCCATTTATCATGTCTGCTCATTTATTTAATCGCTCTTTAATTTGCTGTGCTGTTCTTCTTAGAGCAGTTTGTGGGTTGTTACACCTTGGCTGAAGGCTCATTTGGATTGCTGTTAATAGGTTTCATTTTTCCAGAAAACCTCAAAAATGCTGGAGTGGCGAAAAAGTGCAGGGCTTGGTTTAATCGACAAGTGTTAACTAATCTCAGATATTTTTATTGGCCTGGAAAACACATGCATGCTATCTTTATGTTGATGATAATTTCAGTCGTAATGTTCATTGAAGATGAGGTTTGTTTAAAATTACAATGACTTTAGTATGCACTTTTCAAGCCTTAAAGAGACAGTTCACCTTTCTTCTGTGTAACACAAATCATCTGTTCTGCAGAAGGAAAGTCATACAGGACAACATGAATGATAGCATTTCTCTTTAATTATCTCTTTAATTGGGGTTGAGGAGCCGTGTAATTTGCACCCTGCAGGGTTGATATGAAAAATAGCCCAAAACTGAACGCTGCATACAGTAAGTGTGTATCACAAGCCCTGCAATGGGAATTTGCAGGTTTACCGGTTGAGCAGGGATTGCATCAGCCACAATGCAGTTTAAATGATTGTGTTTTCACACTCTTATTGTACATGCTTTGTTTCACATATACTCGCTAACATGGAGATGTTTAACTGCACACTTACCGTGAAGGAGCCACTCCGATTAGATTGGGTCCCAGGCCCCGGAATAAAGAACGAGGCCCTTCTTTCTCAAGAATTATTCTGAGATGGACAGAAAGAGAGAGATAAACATCAAAAGAAGTCCAAGACAAACATACCAGAGTGACATTTTTGTACTGAATGGCTTTATGAACACTGTAAACACACTCTGGTATTGGTAAAACATGTCATGTGGTTCCTGAGAAATGTTTGGGGCTAAGGTGGAATATTTATGTGTCATATTTTACTCAAAAATCAAAAGAAAGCATCATATTGTAAATGAATCCCATTTTAAGAAGATTTGATCTTTTTTTCAATGTGACATTCATTGTAGTAATTCAAACACCAAATTATCATGCAAAAATAATCATTACCCAGACTACCTTCGTTTACAATAAGCACTGTGGCCTCTTACTGAAAAAATTGAGGCACACTTTAAATTGACCTGCAACGCAATTATTCAGATTTCCCCCCATTTTACAAGTCAAGTCAGAAGATATAAACTTGCAATTCTGACCTTTTCTCTTGCAATTCTGACTTTTTTCTCACAATTGACCGTTCGCAAAAGACCCGCCCCCCTTAGTTACTGTTGCTATGTCCAAGCTACACTGTTCTCACACACACACACCATGTTCTCACGCAGTGAGACAAAATACATTGCGGTCAAAACATTTTAAAATCCTACTAACCCTTTATTTAGATTAAAAACTATTCTTATTAATTTGGTGAGGAACATAGTTAAAAAACATAAATGCTGTTTGCCATTAATGCTAACGATTAACCGATTAACTGATCGTTAATTTAAACGACGATCGATCATGGGAATATGGGAAAATTGACATCCCTAGTCGTGACAGATCGCTGTAGAGCATCGGTTAAAGCTGCTCGTGATCCGATCATCTGTTCTTTCCAGTTCATTTATAGCATCAAATAAACATGAATGAACATGAGGAATGTAGTTTTAACCGCAGAAAGGCGTCAGTACATTCCATTTTTCAAGTTCAAGTCCTCCCTTGTTCAATCTACTAACATTCCTGAATGCTTTGTCAGACAAAATGGCGGATGGCGAAGTATGATTGGTCAGATCACCTGTCAATCAAGCTTCCTGCGAATGGTCAATTGCGAATTATAAAGTCTAATTGACTTTATGCACAGCTGCACTACTTCCTGAACTCCAGCTCCTTTGTTTCCTTTCTGTCATTATTGGCCAAGCTTGATGTATTCAGCTGTCTGATTATTGCTGCCGTGACTACACACCTGGATTAATCAATTTGTCCAATAATGGCAGACAGGAAACAAGGAGCTGGCTTATGTTCAGGGAGTAGTGCAGCTGTGCGTAAAGCCAAAAAAGATGGAGCTTTTTTCTCAGAATTGTGAGTTTATATCTACAATTGCGAGAAAAAAAAAGTCACAATTACCTTTTTATTTTTTTATTCAGTGGCAGAAACGCTTCAACAGAAAAGGCATGGCTCTTTTGAGAAAAGTATATCCGTGGTTCGTTTTGGCATTTTTGCCTGGGCTGTAATTTAGACGCAACAACACTGAGACACACCGATGACTCATGATCTGCTCAGTTGACTAAACACTCCCAGACCCTCCAACTCTCACACACTCATCTTTTAATGTTTTTATTTCCCCCAAAATATTCACATTTTCAAGGTCGCACATGCGTGACTACGGTAGTTGTAAAAATGCTTGCACTGTCTCGAAAAATAGTCACAAAAAGTGCACATTTGGTCGCAGTCTGGAGCCCTGACACAGGTTGACCTTTTTTACAGCTGTATTACAGTTATGAGACTTTTTTTGTGTGTGTGTGCTCAATGGGTTCAATGGAAATGTCACAGGATCAAATAAATCTTTGATATTGTGTAAAATATAAGCAAACCACAAGTAATTTTTTTTGTTCTTTGTAATGATGTTTTGGTACAATATTTTTCTATACAAGTCAATTAAAATGAATTATTTTGGAGTGAAATATAACCCATAAACTTTTCTTTATGAGAATTACCCAAATATTTGTTGCATCATCCAATAATACACACCTCTGCGGAACATGTGCAAACAAAGAAAACACTTTTTCTAGAAAGGGTGTGAGAAGTTATTGTCATCATAACCATAATTTATTACTTGCCAAAAGTACTTTATTTATATTCCAAATTATTACTCAATCTAATCTTTTACCCAGGTTGTTCTCAAGTCACTTGTTGTCAAAAGTCTTATAAGGTTACGGACATCAGGGAAACAATAATAAAGAAACGCTAAGGAAATAATACAATTTAATAATAAAACTACCCATTTAACTAGGCATAGATGGGACAACGAAATAAAAAGACTTATCGACTTATCAATGCTTTCAGTCCAAGGCATGCGTCCAATCAAAGTCTACTTTGATGCACTTTCAGGTGTCAAAAAGACAAAATAGACAGATGCCAAAGTGGACAACCACGAGTTAGTGTATGATGTCAGAATCATTTAATCATTGAATTACTTTGAGAAACGAGACGAAAGTGTCTCTACATGTCTTTGTGTATAGTATTTTAGTACTCTCCGTGATGTATTACCCAAGTTAAACTGAGAGGACAAGGGGCCCGTTCTCAGAAGCAGTCAGTCAGTCTGACACACACACACACACACACTTCATCCGAGAGCCAAGCACCAGGATGCAGTGTTTTAGTGTAAGGGCAGCGATTGGTTGGGTAAGGGGGAGTGAAAACCACTGTGAACAGTGTCATTATTAAGAAAACAGAAAGAAAAGAGGCAAAGCGAGAGGATTATAGACTTTATGCAATATTCGCTGTGTGTGCAAACTGTTTCTGCCTTGGTAATATATATATACTACATGGAACTGACTAACTAAAATAAACAAATTCCTTAATGCCAAACCAATGTTCCCAATTTCGTCTCGTCTTCTGAATTTATTTAGACACATTTGGTGGTTTAGTGAAGAAATGTGACCACATTTCTGGAAAGAGACAACAGAAAGGGGGCGTCTCCTCTGGCACTCGGTTTTAGGCCCATAAACCATAGAGCAAATGTTTACAAAACACTGAGCTAATGCAACGCAGACTCAACGTTCCCACAACGCAGAGGTAACATTCACACTGTTCCAGTACAGGGCGTTGCCTTTTTCCTAAACTAAAACCGCCATGTTAAATCAGACGAGTAAACATTCTTGTCTTAACTAAAACTCACAAAATGTACAGCATAGACGTGAGAGTTTGGGTTTGTGGGTTTTTGGTTATCTCTGATATGTAATGGACAAACCTGCAATTATATATATATATATATATATATTAGGGGTGTAACGGTACACAAAAATCACGGTTCGGTACGTACCTCGGTTTTAAAGTCACGGTTCGGTACGTTTTCGATACAGCAAAAAGAAAGAAATGCCAGAGAAATTTCCTATTTGTTTAAAGAAAAAATATTTTTAAATAAGTGTGAGTTTTCCTAGATCTTGAAACTTTCAGGTTTATAAATGGGGGTCATCTTTGAAGGGTGAACAAATAATGTTTTGGTCATCACATTAAAAATAACATTTAAATATATATATTTATTTATATAATATTTGAATTTTGAAGTGCTGGTAAAAGATGTGTGAAGTACTTGAAAGCATTTCACCATTCCAGCCAAACTGGTTCCAGTTAGTGTTACTATATTAAATCCATGGTGAATGTTGCTGGTCTGTGGACGTAAAGTTCATTCACGGCACAATGTTTCTCCTGGTTTCCATGACAGCGCTGTCTGATCTAATAGAGACCTACGGTTAATAACGGAGAAATGTGAATGCATCTCACTAGATCTCGCAGCGATGTTATTACCCGAGTGGCGAATTCAAATGTGTTCTTGACCGGATCTCTTAGCGCTGTGTGTGGTAACAGTGTTGCTTGATCGAGATCGGCTCGCGCTGCACAGATGTTGCTGGTCCGAACTGATAAACGATCCGTGAAGCACATAACGAGGAGCGCAGTTTCGTTCTGCATTCATTACGCTTGCCATTTGATGTTGCGCAACGTTGTGTTGGCCGCGTCAGCACATATTTTGCCGGCAGGAAAAATGGTCCAAGCAATCGTTCGGTTTGTATGCGTACCGAACCGGAAGCTTCGAACCGAAACGGTTCAATACGAATACATGTACCGTTACACCCCTAATATATATATATATATATACACACATATACACACACACATTAGGGCTGTCAGTTAAACGCGTTATTAACGGCGTTAATGCAAACCCATTTTAACGGCGTCAATTTTTTTATTGCGCGATTAACGGTCTTTTTGGCCTAGCAAACGTTTTTTTCACATGGATGCGGCATGCGTGGTGCTACGCTACGAAACACATTGATTTCAATGGCTTGTGCCGCGCAAGGACGTTTTGTTGCTTCGTTGACCAAAGCGCAAGCAGATCTAGCTAGACCTGAAACAAAACAACAGGCATCACGCCGCACACATTTGTTTAGTTGTCCGATGCGAGCCTGCCAAATAGTTGACTAACGTTTTGTTTTGAGTGAATGACGAGCGCGAGACACCAAAATGGATGCCAATAAGATTCTGAATGGAAAGTTTACTTTTAAAAAGTTGCCAAATGGTTCCATTGACAAGACCAAAATGATCTGTGTGTTTTGTCATTGTGAACTGATTAATCGCAAGTTAACTATGATATTAATGCGATTAATCGCGATGAAATATTTTAATCGTTTGACAGCACTAATATATATATATATATACACACCCTGGTGCTCCTGAATAATATAATCATCTACCACAGTATGGTACTCCACTGTGGTGTCGTCAAAAGTACCGTCTTCGATACCAAGTCGGTACTGAAATTTTAAAAATGTGACGCTTTGAGCACAATCGTAAACACCTCTGATTGGCCATTGTACTCACGCACTCATCAGATATGTCTGTGATAGGCTACAATGATCAGCGCTTTAAACATATGTCGTAAATATACATAAATGACGCTCTTCACCGAGCGCTTACGCCGATACACACGGGAGCGCTTGTGCTTACACTGATACACACGATGCTTGTGTTTTCAAACACTCCCGCTCTCATTTTTAAACACGTCCCTGTGCTCTCAAACACTCCTGTGCGTTGATGTGTATATATGCACTTGAGAAAGTGCAAAAGGTTTTAACTTGTTGACGTGTGTAGTGTACCTGAGGCAGTGAAGGGGCCCTGGAGGGGCCACACGTGCCACGCTGGCTCCATTAACTGTGCAGATGCAGAGCGTCAAGGAGGAAGACTGAAGCCTCGTCTTCACCACCTCTAATGGACACGTCAGGATCGCACCTACTGTGCCTCCACATCTGAGAGAAACAGAGAGCGAAAGACAGACATACAGTGAAAATAAGACCACAGAAAAATCACAAAAATCGATTAAAAGAAACCAAGTTGGAAAAAAAAAAAATCTTTGAAAGCTTGACCGCACAATGTGGGTCAGTCATGCAACAACTTCTTATCTGAGACTGAAAGCCACGTGAGTTTAGTCAAACATTACAACACAGATTTAGAGGAAACGAGGGCGATAGAATTTCAACCCTAAAGTGAAAGGTGAGTCGCCCTTAACGGTCTCCAAAAATTGCGCTCGTGCCGGGAGATGTGGGTCAGCAAACACAGTAACCCAAACCAACAGAACAGTCATGAGCCGGGAACAACCTGATATCAGGATTTTCCGATGGAAAAACGGCATCAACGTGAGGTTTGATAGATGTGATGCGAATCTAAAGCTACAGAAATGTGATTAAGGAACAGTTAATGAGACAGAGATAATAAACCAAACAGAGGTGCAATTTATATTAGGTATCATATAATAACATGGTACTTTTGATTGTCATTCTCATACCAAGACACTGTAAGGTACTTAAAAATACTATGGTATTGCCATCATGTGCAAAGTATGCAAACAAAAGATGATGTACTCATCATGTACTGTTATTGAGTGCCAGTCAATAGTCCTATTTCAAACGGTGCCAGTTTATCTGAGGACAGATATATTTATAGCACATGCTACAATCACTATGAGAATATCAATGGCAGGCTTGACGATTCCCTCATGCCAGTTCAACAAAACACTACCGTAACAGATCAGGTCCCCGAAACTACAACCGTCACCTATAAAAACCCACTCTTGCTATTAAACTGCCTATTGTCATTTTTAACTTTTTGCTATCTGGAAATATTTCAAGGAATAAGAACACAAATATCTTGAGGTTTCTCTCTCTATATAGTAATATACACATCAGCGTAGGGGTGGGCGATATGGAAAAAATATCATATCACGATTTTTTTAGGAAAATCACGATCACGATTTTTTATCACGATTCTTTTTCAAGTTGGTTTTAATATTTTGCAAGTGGCTGTTCATTACAGCCAAACTAATGTCCCTATGTTAAAAACAAAGCCTTAGGTAACAAAAGAAAAAAGAAAGCCACACATTTAGGCCAGTGGCGAAGATAAAAATCTTTGTCATTATTTTCTTTGTTATTAAAAAAATAAGACAAGATAAACATTACACAAATTAATATTCAAATTAAATAAATAGTGCATTATTTTTTCAGATGCACTAGGTGTATTTAGCAGTAACATTGAAGAAAGTAATTAAATTAAACAAATATGAAATTAAAATAGACTTCACTGAATACATTGATTCTTATTAAAGCTACTATTAAAGTTCTCAGTCAGTGAGTGATTTTCTCCTTGTGTTTTTTTTTTTCTTTTACTAAAGGGATAGTTCCCTCAAAAATGAATTAGTTTCTTTCTTCTGTTGAAAATAAAAGTTATTTTGAATAATGTAGGTAACCGAACAGTTGCTGGTCCCCCTGTTCTCTCCTGGAAGTTAATGGGGACCAGCAACTGTTTGGTTACCCACATTAAAAAAAATCGTCTTTTGTGTTCAGCACAAGAAAGAAATGAATACAGGTTTGGAACAACATTAGAGTAAGTAAATAATGACAGATTTTTTTTTTTTTTTTTTTTTTTGTGAACTATCCCTTTAAGGACATGCGGCAGTACTATTTATTCCTGTCGCTTTTAGACCAGCACGCGACGCGTTTAATATGGACGCATTTTACACCAGATATTCTCTCAAATGTTTGCTTTCACTTTAGACACAGCCTGTTTTTGTAAACATTTTGTGTATTTAACAGTATTAGCATAATAAGACTCGAAAGATAACTTAGTCCAGTGTTCTGGCGCTGTTGACAGGCTGCTAGTGCCTGTGAGCGTCGGGGGTTATGCGGTCAGGAAAGCGCACGTTAGAACAGCGCATCAGCGCGTGAATTAAATGTTTAACCGGCAAGGCTTATGCAAATAATGAACTTTTGTGAATTGCAGTGTCCCATACCTATTCATTCACGTGTGGTGTGTAGGCTACGTCGCGTTGTACAGTTGAGACGGGGCGCCAGAACTGAACTGATAGAATGCACTGTAAGACGATACTACGATATTTCTTCAAAAGCAGATCGTGGAGACATTTTAATCGTCCACGATTAAAAATCGTCATATCGCACACCCCTACATCAGCGTGGCTGAATTTAAGATCTCAAGGGATGACGGTGCTAGATTATTGTCTGCTGCAATCCATAACACATCATTTATATTAGGCATGTTTGTGCTTGTTGATCTTTTTGTCTGTTTCAATATCAAGCAGAGTGTCTGGTCTCATATATCAGGGATTTATTCGATAAAGTGAAGGTTGTGTTGTGTTTAAAGCATTTTAAAAGCATCTATCATCCATTATAATGACATTATAACAGCAGTCAGTTCCTCTGTTACATCAGATTTATACTTCCTGTAGAAATGCAAACATTATTGGCAGTGCGGAGCAATCAGACCTCCTTTAAAATGTGTGTGTACAAGTATTTATGTATACAGTAAATATGGAATAAAAACATATTATTATTACTGTAATAATATGCATCAAAATAACATACAATCAAAATTTTTAAGTGTCCTGAAAAACAAAAGATATGATTACAGTTTTAAGTGAGCTTAAGTGAACCATTTTTGGAATATTAAGTGACGGCAATGACATCATTAATCGTCATTAAGTAAACCCAAGCACTTAATTAACAGTAGCACTTTTGTTTAGGGTTCAATTCTCACTGTTAACTAGTTGCTTGTTAGCATGCATATTACTAGATCGTGGCTCTTTCTTTATTAGTACGTATAAAGCACATATTAATGCCTTATTCTGCTTGATTATATTCTTCATCCAATATCTAAACTGAACAACTACCTTACTAACTAAGGTAAAGTAGATAACTAACTAACTAACTAACTAAGGTAACTAAAGCAGTATTTAGGAGTTTATTAAGGCAAAAGTCATAGTTAATAGTGAGAAGTGAATCTAATCGAAACTGAGACCTAATTACCTTGACAGAAATAGATGGTTAATGAAATAAAATACTAAATAATGACTAAATAAAGCCACTCTTAGAAGAATATCCGAAATCTGAATCGATCTTCAAACTCTCAATCTGTCCTCCTGTCAGATTTTCCGTCGCTTCTCAATTCCATCATTACCAAACAACAACTCCCTTGTTTTATAAAATGGTTGGTGTGAAGGTAATGACAACAGCATATGTACAGTAATTATTTGTTTTAATAAAATAAACTAACCCACACATACATAAGAACAGACTTTCCCTAATTTTAACACATTAAACTCAAAGCCAGGTGAGGTTTTAGGAAGTCTTGGCACAACTCCAACACACAATACACCATTACAAAAATGACAGGCATTCATGACAACAAGGTTTCACAACAAACTTTCAAAAACGAGAAAAGGGAATACATTAGACACAATGGATGTTTTACAAAGCATTTTCATAAAAAAACAATATAAACTAACATTACATAGTAATTTAACAGTAATGTATGCGTGTGTGTGTGTGTATATATATATATATATATATATTTATATTGTATAAATGTAAATAAATTATACCAATACTAGTAAGTATTACTACTATTGTTACAAAAAAAAAAAAGACAATTTTAGTTTGAATCGGTATGTTTGTGTAACGTTACGTTTCGTTACGAGTGTTGTTGTGTAAAGCTGTCTTACCCTCCACCGAACAGATGCACCAGTGTGTCTCTCTGGCTCATCTCGGCTCATGCTCTCCGGGACCCACCGGACTGGGTTGTAACGTTAGTGTCCGTGTCCGTGTGGAGCTCATGCGGGTGGGTGTGAGACCAGTGGTCGCTACTAGTCACTTTATACGACCTCAACGTGTCTCAACGCGGCTTCGCCTCGAACAAAATCCCGCTGGTCGATTCACAGTCAATGCTTATTCGATAGTTGGTCTGAAAGTGAGTCTGTGAGGACGAGATGACTACATCCCACTGATCTGGGTCAAAATCCAAGTGGCAGTTTACATCAGAGGTTTAAAAACGTGCACGTTTGCCCCGTATGCATTCACCTTCTTCGTGGACACTCACTTCTGCGACGTAAACCCGCTCACAGTTCACTGTCGATCGACCAATCAGAGAACGCAAAACAGAAACGTCTATTGGTCGAGCTCAGTTTGCGTCACCAGAGCCCGCCTTCACCAAACTCCTTTCACGTGATCATCGCCCTTTCGCACACAAATGACATTCATAGGGTTATATGATATAAATGAAACTTTTTGCCTGAAATAAATAAACGAGCGGTTATATTAAATATAGTTTTCAAATATCCGCTTTGCTCCTCATTCATTCTCATTACATCTGCAACACATTTACATTGATTAAAATTAATAAAACACATCTGAACATAGCTAGCCATTGAGATTATGAGATTATATTGAGTTTTTTTTTTTGTTGTTTTGTTAATCATTTTAAGATTTATTGCCATTGTGATTTCAGACCCAATTACTTTGTTTCATTTGGCATCCTCAAATGGGAGGAGATGATGTCGAATTCAAAACGGAAAATCTTAAACTGTACTTTGAGAGCAAACAATAACTTTGTGCACAAAACACACTCTTTTGTTGACATTGTACGCTTCCTAAAACAAATTAAAAGCATAGTTTAGTCTTTCCTTGGACAGCTTAGAAAAAATGTGCAATAAATCATAATTACTAGGCTGTAAGTATTTTTATTTTTTGTAAGTTATGCAGGAATTGCATCTTAACTGTATTTAAAAATAGTACTGTAATAAAAATGTTGTGACGATGGCATGTGAATGGTTAACTTTTGTAGGTCAACGTTTTATCAAAATGGTAAAGTCCTTGCACGTGTCTTCAACCTAGAGCATAAAGACAAAACTTATGCTGTAGATCTATTTCCGTAAATAAAATTAACATCACTAACAATTATCAGAAATGTAAAATACAAGAAACATACTTACATTCAAACAAAATAATCAGTTGCAGGGAATTAACAGAGACATGTGTGTGTGTGTGTGTGTGTGTGTGTGTGTGTGTGTGTCCAGGAGAGATATAGAAAGGATGAGATGAAGCCTTATCACAAAAGGTGCTTCAGAAGACAGCGGCTCTTTGAACTGTGTGTGTTGTATAGGCAGAACTATTACAGTGATTCAATCTTCGTGGGTGTGTGAATGTGTAGCTTAAATTACATGAGTCAGAGAGTGTCAAACACGCCTTATCTTGCAATCCTGTCATAAATGTGTGCATGCATGTGTGAAAGATTGGATTATCAAAGTAACTTGCTTTTTCTCTTGCAGTTCCTCATTCCCCTCTATTCCCCACATTGTTCGATCTGTAAGTGCTGATACAGCTCACTTAAGCCCTGAAATGAATTTAACGGGTAGAGACATGCAACAACATATCAAAACTTGCCACAGTGTCGATACAGAGCCATCTAGCACTATAATGGTTCAACCAGTGACACTTGTTGATTGCAAGGAAAAACATTGAATAAATGCAATACACACTGCAACCATGTTATTGTGTGCCTTGGATAATAAATAGGCTTACTAGTATTACCACTATACTTTAAAATGCAGGGGTTCATCTGCAAAGATAAACATGGTTTGTTGGCACTGCCTGTATGAATCCGTCCAAATTCAAGAGACATTTAATCCTAAACCTAATCAACATCTGGGTCCTGGAGCAAAACCAGAACCCCTGTGGTAGATCATTGATAGTTTTCAGATCAAAGTGCACACAGTCTGATTTACTTCACTGGTTTCCCCTTACACTGCCCCCATCCCTAAACCTACCCCACATCACCCATCCCACATCACAGGAAGCATTCTGCATTTTTGCATTTTCAAAAAATATAATTCTGTTCCCATAAATGAGTCCCCATGAGACTGTGTAGCCTATACACACACACACTGATAGATCATTGATAGTTTTCAGAACAAAGTGCACACACACAAACAAAGACACACACCTATAGATAGATAGATAGATAGACGGACGGGCGGACTAGATAGATAGATAGATAGATAGATAGATAGATAGATAGATAGATTGATAGATAGATAGATAGATAGATAGATAGATGGATAGACGGACGGACGGACGGACTAGATAGATATATAGGTAGATAGATAGACAGACAGACGGACGGACGGACTAGATTGATGGATGGATGGATGGACGGACGGACGGGATAGATATAGATAGATAGATAGATAGATAGATAGATAGATAGATAGATAGATAGATAGATAGATAGATAGATAGATAGATAGATAGATAGATGGATGGATGGATGGATGGATGGATGGATGGATGGATGGATGGACGGACGGACGGACTAGATAGATAGATGGATAGATGGATGGATGGATGGATGGATGGACGGACTAGATAGATGGATAGATAGATGGATGGATGGATGGATGGATGGATGGATGGACGGACGGACGGACTATAGATAGATAGATAGATAGATAGATAGATAGATAGATAGATAGATAGATAGATAGATAGATAGATAGATAGATAGATAGATAGATAGATAGATAGATAGATAGATAGATAATGGTTATCATTCATATTGCCTATGATGAGTATGTCAAAGTAACCCATCCAACAACATCTTTGACCAGCAGAGGGAGCAGTAAAACTCAACAATAATGTCTGACACACACACACACACACACACACACACACACACACACAAAGAGAGAGAGAGAGAGAGAGAGAGAGAGAGAGAGAGAGAGAGAGAGAGAGAGAGAGAGAGAGAGAGAGAGAGAGCAGGGTTTATGTTGTTAGAGGAGCGGCGGAGAGGCTCACAGCAGGACTGAGTGTGATCGTTCTGTGGGGACTGATGGATTATCGTTCGGGTCGACTCCTCTGAACGGAATATTTGGGCTCTGTTCGGTCAGGTAAAGCCATAGACAAGCGGGTTTCCCTCTTCTCGTGTCGTGACGTGTATAGTGTGTGTGATCTGTTGCTTTGCTTATCTTACGAACGCGCTGCTTCCAGAATCATTATCCATTTAGCACTTTTCCATACGCATTCTTCTCGTTTTCCTTTGCGCGGTTTCTGAATACTCTTTTAAGATCATAAACTGGCATCTTCACTCGAATAAAAATGACAGATGGACATTATTTGAAGGGAAACAGGGTCGTCCCTGCCTTGTCGGAGTTCAAGATTCAACACTTTCCGACTACATTTATTGCGAAAAATGCGTTATTAAAGGCGAGCTGTCATCTAATATATCCTACTTCTCCATATTTGAGTAGATATTCCAAATAATTTGGGCTTTGTTTGTTCAATATCAAGAGTATAGGTTAAATTGAACTTGTGTAGCCTATAAGATGTGTACAGTATGGCATATAGTCTATATAATATAAAAAATCCTGGACAGAAATTAGATTAAAACACATGTGCACAAGTTCTGAGAAATGCTATATTTTGTTGTTGGGTTCCAGTGTTTTAAATTACCCTTAAAGTAAGTAATAAATAACTAGCTACTAATTACATCTTTAACAATGTAATTAGATTACTGTAGGCTACTAATTTCTCTCTAAAAATGAATACAATTGCATGAATTATTATTGAACTGACAAAAGTGTGTGTAAATATAGAATGGTTACATTAAAAACGTACATTTTAACATAAAATGTTAATGTTTTGTATTGTTACAGGCTACAGTAGTAGGCTAGTTAATGCAATTACATCAGAAACTGTAATTATATTACAGAAAAATTAAGAGGAATAGATTACGTTATACATGTAGTAATCACAAAGGCAAAAAGTACATAAATAATTCATGAGTGTAGACATCTTAATAATTTTTTTAATATAGTTAAAGATCTTTTTTAAGGAGTTAAAGAAGTCAAGATTTTGAGTCAAGAATCACTATCATCTGAAGAAAGCATGTGTTTTTTTTTAAACGAACTTGATGACCTTGAGTCGAGACACTGTAAGGAGGGTCTTCAAGGATGTGTCATGTTATAGTTCTTGTCACAATACTGAATGGCTCCTTTTATTTCAGTGACTGAAAACATGTTGGCCATTCAAGTCATTTTCTGTATGAGTTGCATTGTTGTATAGTGTTATCCTTCATTTAAATAGTCCTGTGGTGTGACACATTTTGAAAGTATATTTCATATCCTTTCATATCCTCTCTACTTTAAAACAAGGTCATAAAAGGGCATAGATAATAATTACACAAAAATTAAACTAGTTTTAGATGGAGAATGGCATGTCGCACTGCAAGAGACTAGTCAAAGGGGTTTGCAGTTTTATTGCAAGAACAATAAAATAGGTGTTGCAACTTAAAACCGGTAGTACTTCAAAAGTCAGTGCATACTTGCTATTATGCCCACTGCAGACGAGTGAAGGGTGTAGTCAAGGAAGTGTGGTTTAATGCTCTCATGATGTGGCCTCTGATGGCTTTAACATCTGCTCAGCTGTGTGTGTTTGTGTGTGCACTTTAGATATGGTCAAAAAGCTTGTTGCAGGAATGAATTTAAAGGCAGCTATCTGCATGTAGAGTTAATAACAGTTTCTGCTTCTGTCTGACTGGGGTAAATTACATGTTGCTTGCTGGTGCTGTGTGTAGTGTTGTCGGTTTGTGTTTCAACAGACTTTTGGTATGGTTTTGCTTGCAATACGTTTATAAAAGGGAAACCAGCACTGTGGGGGTTTCATTATCGTGTTTGTTTTGAGTGCTTGTAACATCTCACTTGTTGAAAGTCAATGCAACTTTACTAATGTTGTGTTATCTCTATGTGTGCTATATTAAGTTTCTGTTGCTCTTGATTTCCCAGGTGGATGTATGGCTGATGGACAGGTGTCCGAACCAATCACAGGACAATGCTGGCACGGAGCCGTTTCATCGTGGTGCTGGTGGTGGGTGCGCTGCTGGCGGTGCTGAGTTTCAGCTTGCAGTATTGTAAGTGTGTGTGAACCACAATAAATGGTTTCAGTCACGTTTCCTCTGTATGAGCTAACAGCTATTCATACATACTCTAATGTTTCCCTGGGGACTGTGGTGTATGTATGTTTAGTGTGTCAGGTGGGAATTTAACCTCCGCTGGATTGTATTTACATTCTAGGGGATGTGCCTGTGTGTGTGTGTGTTTTGTGCGCTTGCCTTCCAGTGGGAATATGGTCTCAATTAGACCGAATTCAACACAATAAACAAAGGTGAAGTGCTATATCATGGATTTTTTTCCCTGTTTCAGTAGAACACAATTTTTTAATTAGCCAATAAAACAAATAAAAAAGACAAAGCGTGTCTATATACTCTTTCAAAATCACACGGTGGCACACTATGGAAATACCATTTGTTTGAAAACCTTGGTTTTATCATGCTAGGTGTCACAATCACTAGCTGGCTGTCCCGGACTACATCGTTACTTGTTGATTATCCTTTCAATACACTGCTCTGTTTGGATCCTCAACCCTGTGTCAGAGCAGTTTCTTGACAAAAGACATGGATGGATCCAGCTAGGGATGCACCGATATGAACATTTTGGCCGATACCGATAATTCTTTATATTTGAAAGCCGATAACCGATATATCGGCCGATAAACTTAAATCCAAATTTTGATCTAATTTTGAGAGCCTGATTACAAAAACAAAAGCCTCACAATTAAATCCATGTCCATGTTATAGTGTTGTATAGCCGATATGACAGATTTGCGCTACCGAACCATATTTTAATTTTTTGAAGAGATTTCAATCATATTTCAAGAAATTCAAAAACATAAACAGTGCTCAACAAGTGTCTCAGCTGAAGGGAATAATACATTATTTATCGGCTTTAATATATCAGCCACATTTTCTTACCAGGCCGATAACGATAACATTAAAAATGAACATATATCGGCCGATACCGATATGCTGGCCGATATATCGTGCATCCCTAGATCCAGCAGAGGAAATTCGGTTCCTAGATACTGAACAGTTCTGTGCTCTCGTCGACCGGCTAAACTGAAATGGTAAATGGACTGCATTTATATAGCGCTATCACAGACCCAGTGGCCACCAAAGTGCTTTACATTTTGCCTCACATTCACCCATTCACTCACTCATTCATACACCGACGACGGTGTCAGCCATGCAAGGCCATCCGGCTTGTCGGGAGCATGGACACCTCGACACTTGGTCAGGTGGACACTGGGGATTGAACCACCAACTTTTTGGTTTGTAGACAATCTACATGAACCACTGAGCCACTGCCGCCCCGCTGAAGATGCTGTTTTTAAAGGGATAGTTCACTTTGAAATTCATTTTTGATATGTTTTAGCTTACCTCAATGACATCCAAGATGTAGGTGTCTTTGTTTCCACAGTATTTTAAATTTTGACATTTTTCGGTCAAACCGGCGTTGTCTGTCAGTCATTTAATGCAGGTTTAGGGGGTCCACCTCAAAGAGCATGCACAGAGAATTCAAAATGAAACATGATTTAATGACTCGTAAATGTAAGTACACATTGATGGCCTAAGACACGAAACGAGCGGTTTGTGTGAGAAAACGAACAGTATTTATATCGTTTTTACCTCTTGTAACCACAGCCATGTCCAAGTGACCTGAATCAGTTCTGACTCGTACTCGAACATTTTTTTTTTTAGGACTCGGAATTATTCACGAGTCCACTCGAGTTCAATTAAAAATATTTTTCATGATTATTAATGTATGTTAATAAAATATTTCTTTAAATTGATTGACATGCCCAGTGATTGGTGATTTTCTAGTGCGCAACTGCGCATGACAAATTGTAATAAAATTACTTTTAACACCACCTACTATGTGGCCTTTTTACCCTAAACTGATCATATTTTTAAACTGTAAGTAAATTCAGTAAAAAAAAAAAAAAAAAAAGGATTTCTCTAAGTAAATAAAAGTAAATTAGGTAATCAACCCTCACTGGTCTCGGTCTCGACTCGGACTCGACCGTCTCTGGTCTCGGACTCGACTCGGACTCGACTCTCTATGGACTCGGCCTTGACTCGGACTCGACTCTCTCTGGTCTCGGTGTCGACTCGGACTCGAGTGAGGTGGTCTCGACTACAACACTGCCGCAGGGGGTGATCACTTGCGCGTGTTCGTCATTCAGTGTTTACACAGAGATTTCACTGTGAAGATCTAAACATAGGGGTGTAACAATATATGGTGCCACAATATATCGCAATACATAAATGCAACAATACGTATCGTGGATAGTGACGATACGTATTGTGGATAGTTCCCCCAAAGTAAAAATTACTGTGTGAGAAAAAAAAAAACAATTTTTAGAGTTTTTTTTTTTAAGACTACATTAAACTACTATATATAATGTTGATTATAATAATGTATAATAATGCAATGGGGGAATATTTGTGGGTCCTGATAATGCTAAATGTCTGATGTAACCAGTAAAAAGTGGCTGACATTATTTTAAATATATCTATCTAGTCAGTGACAGAGCACTAGCATATTCGTCTAAAATTATTCTGTATTTTCAGTTTCAGAATCATGAATATTGTTGTTCTGGGGTCACCACTGTCCCTGGGTTACAAGCAGCAAGTCCAAACCTATTCATTAAAACCCACAAAGTAATATCAAAGTTAGCATTTTAATCAACAGTACATTTTTTGTAACCTTTCACCATATGTCTTGGAGTATCGGAATAATATCGTATCGTGAGTTCAGTATCGTGATATGTATCGAATCGTGACATGAGGGTATCGTTACACCCCTAATATGTAGATATACAGGAAATCATAATGGAAGATGATTTCGATATATCTAAATATGTTTAGTGAAAGGCAAAACTTCCGAAATCTCTGTGTAAACAATGAGTGACGTATATGCACAAGCGATCACTTCCGGCGGAACGTTGGACGTTGGAAAAAAAATCATCGGATAGGGAAAGCTCTGGCTTTGTGTGGATGTGGCCTAAGACAAGTACTATCTAAACTCTCTCTGACCCCATTTACATGAGCTTGTTTAGTTGGGGCTTGCCAGCTGACACATGGATGATACTTTACAGACGGTTGGTTTAGACAGTCTAAATGCAGTCTCTAGAATCATATCATGTTTACATGATATATTTTTAAGACTTCAAACCGAGCAGTCAAAAAAAGCCGGAAGTCCCAAAGTCATTAGTGAGAATATGATTCGCAGACGAGAAATGTTTATGTATTTTTATAATGGTTTTATAATGGTATAAGGGTCAGTTAGATTGGCTTTTTGAGACAGATTATTCCCAGATTAGACCCCAGTGTCCCACGTCCTTGACTGAAAATCCTCGTTCGCAGAGGAATGCGGTTATATATATCTTAGAAACCAGTCCCGCAGATTATACATTTCATGTCACTGTGACAGCTGCAGGGAAATCCTGCTAATTTAGTCGTTTAACAACACAGATGGTAAGAATTTGCAAATCCAACTCAAATGAAACCAAACATGCCATTTTTTGGGGATAAGGTAAATAGGGATTGGTCAGTGATACTCTTAATATCCACCCTCTGCATCCCACATCCAATCACAGCTCAGTCTGAGCAACAGGATCTACCTGGCCAGTATACGAGAACCAAGTTTTTGGGGAAAGAAAGAATGTTGTGACAGTTGGTCGGTGTGGTATTAGTCCCGCCCCTCCTCCACTGTGATTGGACGGGTGGGTAAAAAGTGACAGTGATGAGCGCCGCGTTTTATCCAAAGTTGAACATTTTTCAACTCTCGGCGACCAGTAGAAAACGCTCGGCGCTTCAGCGTGAAAAAAACGCTCAGCTCCTCGTTACGCTCATGGCGTTTAAAAAACGCGGCGCTCCCATTGAAAACAATTGAAAACGAACGTCAGGTGCGTGGAAAACCGTTTTTAGCCAGCTGAAAACGCTAGACGCTCAGCTGAAGACGCCATGCTTTTGGCGATTGAGAGCGTTTTGGCAGCGCAGTGTTTTTTCCGTTGAGACGCTTCGTTGCTATGATACAGAATATCCGCAGCACAGTTTACTTGTAACTGATTTCGCAGATAATTTGTTTCATACTAAAAATGTATTTTTTATCCATTTTGTTCGGTTAGCTCTGTTGGTTGATGTCATTGTACAGAAAGAATGTTGACATGGTCGGTGTGGTTTAGTCCCGCCCCTCTTCCACTGTGATTGGACGGCTGGGTAAAAAGTGACAGTGATGAGCGCTGCGTTTTACAAAAAAAAATATTTCAACTCCCAGCGATCAGTAAAAAATGCCGGGCGCTCGGCGCTTCAGGGTGAAAAAAACGCTCAGCGCCTCGTTACGCTCATGGCGTTTAAAAAATGTGGCGCTCCCATTGAAAACAAACGCCAGACGCGTGGAAAAACACTTTGGTGGACACACGGCCTTAGCTTAGCACACAGCATTGTTTTGGATGTTCGGTAAGTTCCGTCTCAAAATAGCCGACCAATCAGGTTGTGAAAGTATTCATATGCCTTTAGGTTCAGTGTTAAAAATGCCAATCTGAATGCTAGGCGGACCAGGACTAAATGTTTTTACTTGGTCTGGACCAAGCAAACTTAACTGAAGTGTGAACACACCTGAAACCATTTCAAAACCCGTCTTTTTACCATGTTGTGCCTCCACCTTGAGACCAGTTGCTTAAAACCCATTGCAAAAATAGCTCATAAAGAGTTATCTATTGCAGTGTCGTTTTAAGGGACAGTTTTTGGTCTGATGCTGATTATGTTTGTCATCCTTACTGTCATCTGCCTTCCTCACGTCAGGTTGCCTGTTTCTTTCACCCTGTGTGAGGTCATTATTAATTCATTCCCTCCTTTGTGGTTTGTCCAACATGAGCTGAAAGCTATCTGAATGTAGGACAGAACCGAGAGAACTCTCTCTCTCTCTCTCTTTACTTCAGTTCACTCAAGCATGACTGATGCCGTTTTAAAGTAAGAGGCTCCAGGTCTGTAGACTAACAAGCAGACGGAAAGAAAGAAGCTTTACATTGAAAATGAGAAAGAGAGAAGTGAAGGATGAAAGAGGACCTGTTCTCATCCTGGTTACTTGTGTGTTTCTGTCAGCATTGCTTCATCGCTAAAGTGTACAATGCCAACACACACACACAATATCAGCCCAATGGCCTTGAACAGCAGTATAAACACTGTCTGTCCAGTTGGATTTGTGTCTATTGTATTTGTGTTTTAGGTGTGTGTGATTTTTCTTGTACGCTATCCTCAGCTACAAAGAGCTCTTTGTGTGGCCGGCCTCTACACTGAGCTGTCCTGTGATTGGCTGAGAGTTTGGAGATAACATGTGATTGGTCAGGCTGCTTTTAGAGGCGGGAGGAAGTCAAAGGGGGGTTTGATGCTAAATTAAAACCAGTATGAGGTGCACACACACACACACCTGCACATGCTCCTTTCACACCTCCGCAATGTCCGCCGCTGCACGTATAAACCAGCTAACCGTTATACTTCTGTCTGGTGAGTTTAACTCCTGGTTGGATACATCAGTAGCATTTAGCCCAATGGCAATTATTCATTCATTCATTTATTTAGTATTTAGCAGTTTGGTTGTTTCTATGCTAACATTGGTTTTCATAATATTTTGTGTGTATTCCAAATTTAGTTATTATATATAAAAGGGAAAAAATGTTAACATTAGATGTGTAAAATCCATGTTCAGAAAGCAAAATTCTTCCTCAGTATTTTGTTCCAATCACCTGGATTTGCTAATTTGCTAATTAGCATTTTTTTCAGCCAGGAAATAATGAAATCAGCTCACGGGTGAGATAAACTTTTACTTTCTGACCTCTGGACTTTACACTTCTGGTTAGCATTGCATAGTTTTGCTTGTGTCAGGTTTATGTTGACCCAGTTTCCTCGTGTATTGCTTTTTGTTCCTCTATTCTGTTCTCCTGTTTCCCATTAATTAGCTTATTAGTTCCCTCATTTTCCATGTTATTAGAAAACAGAATTATGTTGTATTTAATAGGGCTGTCAAACGATTAATCGTGATTAATCGCATCCAAAATAAAAGTTTGTGTTTACATAATATATGTGGGTGCATTGTGTATAATTATTTTCTATATATATATATAAATACACACACACGCATGTATATTTAAGAAAAAAATATTATTTATATATAAATTATTTATTTATTATTTATATATAAATTATATATTGATATTTATATATAATATAAATTATATATAAATCTATATACAGTATATACATGAAAATATTTCTTAAATATATACAAGCATGTGTGTATTTATATATATATCTATATATAAAATAATTATACACAGTGCACCCACATATATTATGTAAACACAAACTTTTATTTTGAATGCGATTAAATCGCGGTTAATCGTTTGACAGCCCTAGCATTTAAGTTGTAATGTATTTAAGTGTATTAGATTATAATGTATTTAAAAGTTTGAGGATGATGCTGCAGGTTTCTCTTAAAACATTTTACGTGATTTAAGAATCATCATACCTAATTTTCACATTTTATCCACGTACGTTTTTTTTATTTAAAAAAAGTAGTTTTTCATAGTTTGCGTGAAACAGTTTAGATTCTGTAATTGCTCCTTTTGGATTGTTTTAATAAATGCTGGTTTTGAAAAAGTTTCTTAGAGTATGTTTTTATAGTACAGTTTATTCTTTTGCTTAAAGAAAATTACATTTATCATCATACTATAAAAGTTGCTGTAATTTATTTATGTGTACTTAAAGTGCAAATATTTTGGTCTTGTTTATAAGTCATATTGAAGGATTGTAGGGCCCTCGTTCTGGTAGCTGTCAATCATTGGCTAATTTCCGGTCAGACTCCTCCCTCTGCCCACATCGCCATGGCAATTCCCCAAATCCAACAATCTGCAGCACTGTGCAGCCTCAATGTTTGTTCTATGAGGTCAGAACTGAGGAAGCTGGAAATGGTGTGTGTGCTTGTACTTTTATGAGCCTCATAGTCCTTTCTTTCTTTCTCTAGTGCACCTCATTCCAACCAATCCAGTGGCAGAGCAAAGGTCACTTGGAAAAAGCAGAAAGCGTGTGAATCCAGTCCTCCATACGGATCCTCCCGCCCCTGACCCCATTCGAGACACCCACCAGTACTGTAATTACCCCAACCTCAGCGAGCACGGCTGGGAGGGTAAGAAACACACACACGCACATGTTTACCTCCTCACACACCTGAAGACTCTCAGACGTGGTGTGATGTGTGTGTCGTAGGTCACAGTCCGGCAGACTACAGGCTGCTGTCGGTCCAGGTGATGATTCGTCATGGAGACCGTTTCCCTTTATACTCCATCCCAAAAACCAAGAAACCTGCCATAGATTGCACTCTATCAGAGAAGAGGTATGCATTCATATGCAAATGATCTGATGAGTCTATCTGTCTGTCCGTCCACCTCACTGTCCATCTATCTATCTCACTGTCTGTCTGTCCATGCATCCACCAGTCCATCCATCCATCCATCCATCCCACTGTCCGTCTGTCCATCCATCCATCCGTCCATCCAACCCACATGTCTGTCCTTCTGTCCATCCATCCATCCCACTGTCCATCTATCTATCTCACTGTCTGTCTGTCCACGCATCCACCAGTACATCCATCCATCCAACCAACCCACTGTCCGTCTGTCCATCCATTCATCCCACTGTCTATCTGTCCTTTCATCCATCTATCCATCCCACTGTCTATCTGTCCGTCCGTCCGTCCGTCTATCTCACTGTCTGTCTGTCCACGCATCCACCTGTACATCCATCCATTCATCCATCCCACTGTCCGTCTTTCCATCCATCCATCCATCCATCCATCCATTCCAATGTCTGTCTGCCCATCCACGCATCCATCCGTCTATCCATCCATCCATACATCCCACAGTCTGTCCATCCGCCCATCCCACTGTCTGTCTGTCCATCCATCCATCCATCCATCCCACGGTCTGTCTGTCCATCCATCCATCCATTCATCCCTCTGTCTGTCCATCCATCCATCCATCCATCCCACTGTCTCTCCATCCACCCATCCCACTGTCTGTCCATCCGCCCATCCATCTTTCTGTCCATCCATCTATCCCACTGTCTATCTGTCCATACATCCATCCATCCCACTTTCCATCCATCCATCCATCCAGCCAGCCACCCATTTATCATCCCACTGTCCGTCCGTCCATCCATCCCACTGTCTATCTATCTGTATGTCTGTCACAATATATAATGAAATGACTGTAAAAGTAAATAATGCATCATATTAAAAGTCTGCCTGTTTTCAAGGTCCATCATTTTAGAAGATTGTTGTTGTTTTTCAGAGCTTACTACTGATCGGTGGACTTATGTTTGCGTGTTTATCAGATTTACTGTTTATCAATCGGGCATGCAGTTTATGAATCGTTACCAGATTAATATTCCATTCCCGCAGTCGTCTTTTATCCATCTCTGAGCCGTGTCGCCGTGGTTACGGCAGCAGTGAAGAGTCACTGTAATGCTACCTAAAATAACATTGTTGTGTTTCCATGGTTTCATCATTGTATTCTAACCTGACATGACAAATGCTGTGCTCCAGAATATCCCAAGAATTATTAATCACGCACAGCAACCTATAATATTCCCATGATGTCTGAGATTTATGTATTACAAAGTAATCCTCAACCATAAATCCTTCTTTCTCTTTATCAAGCTCTAGTTCTTCACAAACATTGCAAACCTTGCTATCTAAATGCAGACATACCCTAAGAGGTCTGATGTGTGATTGCGTTTGTGACCCGACCCAACATGACCGTAATGCTCTGACGGGTTCTTACTGGAAATGAAGACGTATTATAATAAAATGCAGTAATCCAACATCCCTGCTGGAGTTTTCTGAAGTCTATTAAAAATGATCAACTTTACCTCAGAGTCTATTGTATATAGTTAGATATATATATATATATATAGTACATTAGATATGCATTTAATCTATGCAATGATTTTATTAAATGATGCATGTTTCGTGTAATCGTGGTTGTATTATGTATCGTGATAATGCGGTTGTCTTCAACAATCGCTGAGCATTAGTGTCTGGAACAAAGCTCATAGCAGACCTCTGCCCTTGACTTTTATTTTTTTTTAAATAATGTTAATTATTTTACTACAGACTAACCCACGTGCTATTCCTGAATACAAAATTAGCATTTTTATAACAAACCAAAAGATTAATCGACCTTTTTATTCCCTTTGAAGATGTCCCATGTGCATAAATAGATCAGCTTGAAAAATTCAAATGGTTTTCTGGCTTCTATCATTATACATGTTAGCATGCCTCCCCCTTGTGGATATATCTTGTAATGACAACCTCACGTGGCTCCTCAGAGATGCTTATGCATATTGTGTTTAGACCCGAACGCATACATTTATTTCAGATTTAAAATAAGATCTAAAACATCTTTCATGGTTGTAATTTCACAGAAAGCCCTCTCACCCGCTTTTGGCCGCCTTCATTAATCACATGGCTCTCGGTGGGCGTGGTCACTGGGACGCATCACTGGGATCTCTCCCCCGATTACCTAATCACAACACCTGTGAAATGGGAGAGCTTACACAGACAGGTAACCAGTCACAGGCTGCGTCCGAAAGCGCATACTCTCTTGAGTTGGTACTTATTTTAAATAAGTAATTACTTCACAACCACTAAGAAAGTATCTTCTATATAGTATGAATGTAAGCTGGACGTACTACTTTACCTATGTTGTCATTATCATGTGACCTCCAGCGTCAGTTGTGTCGCTTCAATGAATACTGTGAATTCTGACATACTACTTTTGTCACATACTGTTTTTCGCCTACTATATAGCAGGGAAGTATGTGATTATATAATACACACACACACACACACACACACATATATATATATATATAGTATTCTTGATGTGAAACTATCATTAACTAAAATCACAAAAAAGTGCTGCTTGAAATCAAATAAATGTCAACTGGAAAATTAAAAAATATATATATAAATACAAAATTAAACTTACATATTTTTTTTATTATTTTAAGTATTTTAAATAACTACATTTGGTATAAAAACCAAACACAAATCATATAAAAAAATTTTAATCTAATAAAAATGACAAAAAAAAAAACAACATAAAAAATAAATAAAAAAACTAATTCAAATTATTATTAACAAAAAATGTAGTAATATATCAATGACACTAAAAAAAAAAAATCACTGGTGTGAAATGTAACTGGCCATGCTTACTTTTTCTCTCTATCAGGAGTCGTACAGCACTTGAAAAACGGCGATCATTTTCGCCAGGCCTACATCAAGCGTCACAATCTGCTCTCTGCTGATTGGTCACCGCGTCAGGTGTGGATGGAGACTACAGGTAAAAGCCGCACCCTCCAGAGTGGATTGGCCTTCCTCTTCGGCTTCCTCCCGCATTTCGATTGGTCGCGTCTGACGGTTCGACAGCAGTGGAGTACGCTTTTCTGCGGTTCCTCGTGCGACTGTCCCACACGCAACCGGTACCTGGACCAGGAGCAGCGCAGGCAGTATCACCAGAGGACTGCCGACACCGAACTCGAACGCACGTACGTCACCATGGCCAAGACGTTGGGTGTGGCCACAAAGATTCTGAGGGCGGCCAATCCCGTGGATGCTTTGTTGTGTCACTTTTGCCACGGTCTTCCCTTTCCGTGCTCCAGCTCTCAGACTACATCACATGTTTCGGATGAGGGGGCGTGTCTTACACTACAGCACTTTGCTGTGATTCGACGGCAGCAGAAAGACGACGAACTGGAGCGGCGGGAGGCGGGGCTTTATCGCCGCTATGCTGTGCTCGCGGCTCATCCGTACCTCAACCGCACCGCGGCGCGACTGGAGAAGATCGCTAGAGGAAGCCAGACGCGCAAAGGCACAGAAGAGGCGGTCTTCGCTTTAGCATCTGCTCACGACGTGACCATGGCGCCGTTGCTAAGCGCGCTCGGTCTGGAAGGGGCGGGATTTCCGCGGTTTGCGGCCCGCTTGGTGTTTGAGCTGTGGAGTAGCCCCGAAGCGAAAGACAAAGAAAGGAAGAATGAAAGGAAACGTGGAAAGTGGTTGGACGACACGTTTATTCGTGTTCTTTATAACGGAGAGGACTTGACCTTTGACACCGCTTTCTGCCATGACCACAATCGACACTCTGCTCAGCCACTGTGCCCTCTGGGTAATTTCCTGTCTTTTGTGAGGAAGGATATGTTCAATATCGTTAACGCTACAAGTTACCAGCAGGCCTGCCGCCAAATTGTACTGTAATATATGAACAGAGCGTAAACAAAGAATAATTTACCCAAATATTCTGTCATCATTTGCTTCATGTTGTTCCAAATCCATATGACTTTTCGTGGAATGCGTAGTGCAATACTATCAATAATGAGACTTTAAAGCTAAAAACAAAAAGCAATCTCACTAAAAGTCCATTCGACTTATGCACTATTTACCAAGGAGTTTCCAGGTGCTTGTCACTGCATGTTTTCAATGTATGGATCAAGAGCAGCATTAGCATTTTTCAAAATTTCTCCTTTTGTTTTGCGACAAAGGTTTGGAATGACGTGAAAGTGAGAATTTCAGAATTTTTATTTTTGGGTGAACTGTTCCTTTAAGAGCGAGTACTACTAATGTTTTTGATGTAGTGTTAAAGGAGTAGTTCACTTTTAAAAAACTTTTGCTGATAATTTACTCACCCCCATGTCATCCAGGATGTCCATGTCTTTCTTTCGTCAGTCGAAAAGAAATTAAGGTTTTTGATGAAAACATTCCAGGATTTTCTCCATATAATGGACTTCAATGGGAACCAAACGGTTCAAGGTCCAAAAGACAGTTTCAGTGCAGCTTCAAAGGGCTTTAAACGACACCAGACGATGAATAAGGGTCTTATCAAGCAAAGCGATCGCTCATTTAATAAATAAATAAAGTTTTATAATCACAAATACTAGTTCTGTTCTGTGATGCACGTTCGTGACTCTCCTGTTCAAACTCGTTCATCAAAATGAACAAATCTTTTTTCGAGTCAAGTCCTAGATAAGACCCTTATTCATCGTCTGGTGTCGTTTAAAGCCCTTTGAAGCTGCACTGAAACTCTCATTTGGACCTTGAACCACTTGGTTCCCACTGAAGTCCATTATATGGAGAAAAATTTTGGAATATTTTCATCAAAAACTTTAATTTCTTTTCAAATAAAGAAAGAAAGACATGGACATCTTGGATAACATGGGGGTGAGTAAATTATCAGCAAAAGTTTTTTAAAAGTGAACTAATCCTTTAAGCCTGAGGACCAAATAATTGTCCTGCACAAAAATTGGTACACTTTTTACAACTGAAGTGTTTACAGCAACTTTTTTTTTTTACACAGAGATTGGTGATTGAATATGCACATTTGGATGATGACTGATTTTAAATGTGACGTGATGTCAAACGACCCCTACAAAAGCACATATATCCAGCACACAATCAGTCACCTCTTGCCTTTATTCTGAGTCAGTGATCTAGGAATCCTGCCCAGTCATCATGACAATCCCAATGGATGTGCTAAATAGAGAAACGGTCCGTTTATACCACATTTCATAAATATTTAGATATAGGGCACTTCGCCACTTTATTGCAGAGATTCTGCAGTGATCGGGAATTGGATATTTCAATTTCACGTCTCTTCCATTTGATGTCCCGGATGAGTTCTCACTTGAATTGTATTAGCAGAATTTCTAGTTTTGCGTAATCATGTTGTCCTGACACATTTCTCACACATTGTGTGTGCTTTTAATTTCTTTTGTTCTTTTTATTTTCGTACAACGTAGCGGTGAAAGGAATGGTAGTATTTCTGAGTACTGTAAAATTGATTCAAACGAACTTTTGTATTATGACGTTCTTAAGATCAGTGTACTGCCACATTCCAAAGCACATTTTTCAATAAATGATTCATTTGTCTATAAAATTCTCTGTGGTTTATCTGAAAAATACATTTAATTTTGACTTTCAGACAAATTATGTCTTATTCTGTTCAAAATCCACCCACTTAGATCAGATGAGACATGTAAAGTGCCCAAATGTAATGCAAGCCAGCTAGTGAGCACTTTTATAAGTAAACCTCACTCCCCAGATCTCAAGAAATCAGTCGCGGGGTTTTTGCCATAGCTATCAACTCACACTTTTATTTTGATGCATTTTTTAATTATTATTATTAGAATCCTCTATTTCCATTTTTAAATTATATCTCAATATTTTGTTTCCCCAAGCGGCAACATTCTAATCTGAAAGATGAAGCCTACCCGGAAGTGCGATAAACTGCAATACATCTCAAATCCGCTAGAGGCCGGTCCCAAAAGGGAGCAAATCCATAGACGTCGTGTTATAATGTCCGTTTTCACAGCATAAATTCATATGTTTACACTTTGGTCCCATGGACTTTTATTGTAATCTTCAATACGTTCCGCGTGCCTGACAACTGTGAGGGGGGTGAATTTTTTTCTTACTCGTTAGTTTAGATCATATTTAGATAAAAAACGTATGACAAATAAGGGCGGTTAACTTTGATTGACAGCTGATAACGGGCTGCACCGAGTGGAATTTGACGTCTCGGCCATGATCTGACACAACACATCATACCACCTCTGTATCCTTTCTGAAACTTTTGTATTTTCCAAGATTTTCTAATATGGCGCTGCCCATACCCCCATAAACAGCTTCAAACCCGTTCTTCAGAGAGTCTATGGGTGACATCACAGACGCTTTGTCCATATTTTTTACAGTCTATGTTTACCATAGTGTTCGGGACATCTGTTCTTGTTTTTTAAATTATTGTATTTTGTATTTTGTTTTATTTCAATGATACCCAAACATTTTGTACAGCAAAAATAATATAATTAATAATAATAATAAATTAATATAATGAATATAAAATACCAATAATATAAATATGAAAATGATTTATAATAATACATAAATAAATAAATAAATAAATAGCTATATAACCTCTGTACGTAACTATTGAACTGCCAAAAACTAGGCTAGTTCTTTTATTTTGTGTTTCACATGATGGCCACAAGGTGGCAGGAGACTTTAGTTTGTGGTCATGTCTCTGACTTCAGGTTGAGTCAGCACTATAGTGCAAGAATCAGTTCATTGGTCAGCATTATGCATATACTAAATGTAGAAAACCTCTCTGGATTTGAGTCATTATTGTTAAATATGAGATTGCAAATCATGCGGACTGGTTTTAGCCTCGCCTGTCAAATAACTCAATCACAACAGCCAAAAATCTGTCCCAGAGTAATCTCCAAAATTTCCCCAGGAGTGTGTATTGGGATGTAAGTAAAGGAATCGGAGGCCTTGTGATCTCTACGAGATGATTTTAATTAGCCGCTGCTTTCCTCGCCAAAGAAAAGATCGTTTATTTGCTGACTTTGACAGAGAAATCGATCTTCATTAAAGAGAGTTAGAATGTGGGTTCTGATGGTATTTGTGTGCCGGTGAGTGTTTAGAAACTTTTTCAAATTAAAAAAAGATGATGCTGCCAGACAAAACACTTTCTTTTGCATAATCTTTAGCAATTATGCCAAAAATGGCTTGTTTTTGGTGTGTACACGATCCCATTTGGAGACCTTCAAAAAAGTTATGAGCTGTTCACACTGAGTTCACAGTCTCTATTAAATGTACATATTACTTTATAGGACGCAAAACGAGTAGGATGTCTTATTGGTCTAAATAGCCATCACATTCAATGTGGATAAGTTTGGCCTACATGTTACTGGAAACGTTGAACTCCCAATGTTATAAGGCAACTATATCACTAAGATCCTCAAATAAGCTCCTGTTAACTATCCCACAAGTACATATTAAATCCAAGGGTGATCTTACTTTCGCTATTGCTGGTCCGAGATTATGGAATGACCAACCCTGTTTTTGTTAGATCTTAGCCAACATTAAATACTTTTAGGTTTCGTCTAAAGTCTCCCTTTTAAAGTCCTTCTTTTAATGGGTGTTGTATTTTTTTATTGTTCTCGATCATTTGTTAAGTAGGGTTGTTTTGATATATCATTTCTAATGCACAGCACTATGGAGCCACTGTATAGCCTGGAAGGTTCTTTATAAATATATAAATACAAATACAAATACAAATGATGACAGAATTCACCTTTGGCTAAGCCCCGCCCTCCTTAGTTACTGTTGCTACATCCGTCAAATTTCATCTGCGCTCTGCATGGCTTATGCTGTAACAGCTCTTCCTGCTGAAATGTTATCAAACTTTTATAAAGCAGAAAATAAAGCGTCCGATAGAAGTAGGCAAAAGGGGCTGCAATATGCGTTCGAAGGCTATATTCAAGACATACAGGTGAAACGCAAGAATCAACAAGGCATCCAAATAGAGGCAAAAGCATAATGTTAACGTTACCGGTCACAGTCAAAAAATTAACCACCGCCAGTGTTGGGTAAGTTACTCTAAAAAAGTAATTAATTACTAGTTACTAATTACCTCTTCAACAATGTAATTAGATTACTGTAGGCTACTAATTACTCTCTCTGAAAAGTATTTAAATACTTTTAATTAATTACTTTCAAAATCCCATTTCAATCTCAACCAGCTGAATAATACAAGGATAGACATGAATCTGTTTTAATTCTTTCAAATAAATACTATAAAATTGCATGAATTAGAAGGTTACATTATAAAAACATACTTTTTAGCATCAGACAATACATTTTGATGTTAAACCCACTATTGTTTTATGTCTGATCTAATGACATTTCACACTTTTTTCATACATATTTTACAATAATTCATACGAATTTGTACAAGTGCGGTCGTAATATTTAGACACCTCAAAAATGCATAAGAATCACTGTGAGATCGGATCCCAGATAGCAGACTGACATTGAATCAACGTGGAAATATGACATCGAAACAACGTTGATCTGACATTGTTTTGCTCATCGAATTAACGTTGAACCAACGTCAGATGCGTCATTCTTTCAAAACTAACGGAAAATCAACTTGAAATCAACGCGTTGTTTCAACGTTATGAAAGCAAACCAATTTTCGATTTTCATTTAGCTTTGAAGAATGCCGCGTCTGACGTTGGTTCAACGTTAATTCGATGAGCAAATCAACGTTGTTTCAATGTCATGAGAGACGTCATTTCCACGTTGATTCAATGTCCGTTTGCTATCTGGGATTGATCTATACACAGTATTTACCTCAATTACATCAGAAGTAACTGTATTTAAATTACAGATAAATGAAGAGTAATCCCTTACTTTACATTTTCAAGGGAAAAGTAATTAAATTACAGTAACTAATTACTTAGTAATTAGTTACACCCAACACTGACCACCGCATTTCCTACTAATCGAGACGGAGGCTGGGACTAACAATATCAGGGAGCAACACTGTTCATGCAAAGCTGGGTAGGTCTCTATTCACTTCTATAATCGTTATTACAAAGCAAACGGACTACACGAGTACTGTAGTATTTATTAGCAGCGTGTGCTAGTGTACCAACAACCGGTATAAGAACCGAAATCATAACCTAAAACATTATAAAACGGTCTAACTAGTATAACGTCACACTCACAGTAAGGTTGGGAGTAAAAAAAAGATGCTTGTTGTTGATCTTTGAGGGGTTTAGCTGACTGAGGACGTCCACACAGTTTAATCCAAAGACGACACTTGTCAGGATTTTACTTCAGTTTTGGGAAGGGATAAAACGGAC